CCATATTATCATTTCTGCCCAAGGCTCCCTGTGATTTATAGTTAGCAGTGATACAAGGCAATTACCAATTTTCCGTGCTCTTGGCCTGAAGAAATAAAATAATAAAAGTCAAGTTTTTATTATTATGCAAGTGGAAAAATACAATTCTTCATGGTATGATTTGAATAAATACAACTGATTTGAAGTTGGAATTATTATTTGTCTAAGATGACTGGGCATTTACAAATTGAAATAGCTACTCTTCATCAAGAAAATACATGAATATTTTTCCCAATTCACCTGGATTTTATTGTAGGTCTTTGTACGTGAAATAGCTTTATTTAACGTCCGCTACCACCGAAGTGGTATTGCAGAAAATTAACAAATTCGGATTCCCTTTTAAAGGAATTAGACTACACTATCGCTGGATTGTATTATATTCAAAATGGCGCCCAGAACACAAAACAAACATTGCAATTCAGGGCGGACTGGTGTCGAGGTTGTATCCTAAGAATGATTTTTTGAATATTTAATCAAACAGAAACACAATTATGCACATGCAGTTATGATATAATATTAAATTAGCTTACCTCAAATACCTCGAAATATACTGTTTGGTCAGTTTGTCCGCCCGCCATATTTCTATTAGTCACACATCCTTCGGCCAATTAAAATGGAGGTATATTTTGTTTTAACCGAAACGAAAAATTTGCGTTATAAATACATTGTATAAAAAAATACCAAAATCACAAATCTGATATTCTTATTTTCTGAACAAACTTTTTTCACAACAATATCACTTTTTTCGATACTAATGCTTAATAATACAGTTAACATTTGCAGTACCACAGGGTTTAATACCGCAAAATTACTTCAATAAATATTTCTTTCTTTGTTTTAAGAGTAATTCATTTTAATTGGTCATTTACAGGTAAGAATAAATTTCCAATTTCGATTAATGAACCAATTAAATTAAATAAAAAGATTAACTCGACTATTTCCACGCCCATTCAAACATTTTTTTAAAACGTAGATATAACACAATTGTATTGTCTTTGATGTGTCAAGTTTATTGGGGCGATATCAATCAGACACTTCCAAATGCAGACATTGTAATAACCTGTCTCTGTATATTGTCTGAGACAAGATGTGAAAATAAACAAAGAGTAGAATCAGAATAATCTTTTATTATATCTAATTAAATAAATAGTTTATATTTAGATAATAATTGACTAAAACTTTGATCTCTTATATCAGTATACTGTTATAAAATACGTTGTTTTAAAAGAGATATTAAATGCATCGCACGATACAAACATTGCGATTTCTACTTAATGTTTGTAATAATTAATATATCCTTTTAGATAATTAGAAATATTAAAAAATAAATCAAGTGAATTACTCGACATTCAAATTCAGGAAGAGTGGTTTTACATATAGGCTAGTGATAAAGGAACATAATAAATGTTATCTTTAATGTCGACGTAATTAATTATATGAAAAAAAAACACATAAGATTTTATAAATGTACACAAGTTTGTGTTAAGACATTGAAAAAAACACAAACTTGTGTCATTGCAATGCAATACAACACAAACATGTGTTAAATATTTTTAACACAAGTTCTTGTGTTGAGATCCAACACAAGGGTTTTTTCAGTGTGTCACAATCCACAAGATGACTGATAACGTCATACTCGGTTCTTGGTCCTTGATTTTTTATTTTATTTACGAAGCACTGGGTTATAAGGTTCAGAAATTTATCCATTTACTTAATCGGCGGCGTGGTTCCCCTTGACGAAAAACCGAGGTCCCGTGTACACATTGGCGTGCACGTAAAAGATCCCTTGACATTTGGAATTCGATGTAAGAGTTGGCCGTAGTAATTAAGACACAACAAATATGTGTATATGTTGGGGCCAGTAATAACATGTGGGGTTCGGTGCATCTAAAAAAAATATATTAAATTATATGTCTGAAATACTAAATATGGTAAAAGTTATGGGGGACTTTATCACAGGTTTCTGCTGAATTCACAAAGCTATCTTTATGTGTCTTAGACAAATAAATTAATAATAATTCAGATGTCTTTTTCAAACGAGCCAGCCCATTCTTCATAAAATCGATTTGTACGCGGATATAATCTTAATTATATGTTCTTTATATAGTGTTTTACATTTAGTGGGAAGTCTTGCTTATTATTACTTTAATTACTATTAAAGATGGGTTCCCAGAAAAGTATTTATTGGGTGGTTATTTCCAATAAAAGTATGGCAATTTTGGTATATATCGAAAGTAGAGATATCCAATCTTACTAGAAAAATATTGGATTCCCCCAAAACACTCATGGAGCGTATACAGGACAAAAATGTAAGTGTTCCCCTAATCGACAGCCCGACGATTAGGAATTTCTGCACGCGTGATGTCAAAGGTCACACGCGAACATTGAGCGCTTGATGTACAAGTTGATAAACTTTATGAAGAGTTAGACGTAAAACACTTTCTGAGATAAAAATGACGGAAAAAGACGCGGGTAGTGGATAATCCGAGAATTTAATTAGGATTCGATATTTGTAATAAATAGTAAGCGATTAAAGACAACATCGTCTTATGTATGCAATGAATTCTCCTCTGACTTCCTAAAGAGTAAGTCACGTGACATAACATGGCCTGTTCTGATCGAATTTTTTTAGCCGTGCATTCCTTGGCAATTACAATGTTTGAGAAGGATTTGAACCAAATTTATGACAAATTAATTAGTTTGAATATGTTTTTAGTCCATATATGCCATTAAATCACCCAGTTTGTACGCGGGAATGTATCTTTAATATTGTTGAAGAACCTAGCTTTATCCGACCCCCAATCGCATTCAATTTTTACCATTGAGTATCAATGGTACAGAGAGACGTCGATGTAAGTACATTCTTCTGAAATAAATTAATCTTATTTAAATACATTAACGATTCGCGTTATTGACCCAAGCCTATTTTCTACTTGTGCCGGAAATAGAATTAATGTTCACTTATATCCTCGAACAGGATTGAATTAACGATGTTCTGATCGTGATCAATTCCAAATAGATGACATCACGTGACAACTTGTGAAATAAGATGCTTGTTTTATTGTTATTATTGGAATTATGATAACATTTCCTTGTCGATATAATGACCAAATTCTTGATCAACAAATAAGACTGGCCATTTTGATTTAGGTCAGAATACAATATTGAACTGTAATGATTCTCGGAACTCAAAAAGCTTAGCAAACAACCATGTTACACGCCTTCTCGTTTTGATGTCATCGTTCAATTCCCTTACTGGATTTGTGGAGATAAAAATGTTACTTTCAAATCAGAAAACCAATATGAAATGAAATGACACGTCCCACATTTCTGCCCCCATTAGGCTAATGAAGACGGGCATACTTCATGCAGTGTGCTATGTGGAACATTTTGCCCAGACAACGGCGCTATGACCTACTCTTGTTTCTAATTCCAACTGCCAAGGGATCTTTTACTTACACGCCAAAGTGTACACGATACCTTAGCTTTTCGTCCCATCCGAACGTATATGTCCCTTTCCAGGACCTCCGTCTTACACCACTGACAAGGGGGAACCACGCCGGATGAATCAAAACCAAAAAGTATCCCCAAATTTGAAATATCGCGTACATGTGAAGGAATATTAAACTACGTGTATATTTATTGCAAAACATTTGCCTGTCTAACGTAGTACATATGTCCAATATTTAAACCTCATCAGACATCTCGGATTGTATGGACAACCACACCGGCTAACGGGACTTTGTCATCGTCATAAAATGATCATTAGTGGTATAGATTGTTAACAACAATTATAAACAGGGCAAAAACGAGTTCTTTATGACCGGATATATTGTCAATTAATGAGGCCTATAATCAATTTCAATTTATGACCCGAGGACCCGAGCTACTATGATTTAACGAGACCTATATTCAATTTACGACCCAATCGTGAATAAACCATAGCTGAATAGTTGGCGATATAATTGTTACAAAAATACATATTATATAGTAAACAAAGTCAAAGGTCGTGTCTTGTATCATCGTAATATAGACTTGTGTAAACCACAAATCAATACAGGACTTGTTAGTTGCCTATAGAAATGTTATCCGGGTATACCTTTAGCCAACAATTTTTTAAGTTGTATTCACACGATAAATGTATTACCATAACAAAGTCAAATGTTGTATCGCATATCATCGTAAAATGATTAATACCCTAACTTCGTTACATGTCTATAAAACAACTTATCTTCATGTATTTGGTTAGAAATTTAAAGTTAAATTACCGATATATTTCTTCTACGAGTTATCTTCTACAAGTTATCTTCCACACTTGGTTGCAAATTTAAAGTTATATTACCGATATATTTCTTATACAAGTTATCTTTTGGAATTGCATGATGTATGGCGAGTTCACGGCTTATCCATTGTTTGTTATCTCATTCAGTAACCAATGACATCATATTTTATTTTATTTATGGTGTTGGTTTTGATAAATGAAATGCTGGCAAGTCTAAGGTTTTCCAATAGTTCCTTTTAATGTTTGGTAATCCACTTCAATAAATCACTCGCCGTTTTGTCTTGCGATGTATTGGCTTCACCATGATATTGGACGAAAACGTACAATTGTCGATTTTTAATTAACTTTGATATGTTCATTCGTTTTATTCAGTGGGCAATTTAGGCCACGAGATAAAAATAACTTTGTTAGGAAATACTAGATTTAGGATTCAACAGTTTGCATAAAAACAAAACTAGCATAAACAGATGGCTACTACATCTGCCGACGGTAAAATTTTATTCAAATGGTGCTTGGCCAATCACCGATCGAATTAATTTGGTAAGGCGCTGATTCAGTAATTTTTGGACGGACTTTGCCAACAGGGCAGCCCATTAAAAACTCATCGGAAAAGGGTCTTTGATCTTCTAATTGACATATTGTAATTTTAATCCCCCTGATTTTCAATTTTTATTATCAGATCACAATGTCTAGAGAATATCACATCAGAAAGAGATTTGTTACTTTATCTACTGGATACAAGACGATATGATTCTAGTATGAGACCAGATACTGATACAGGTATTTATTTCTTTATATATTTTTTAAAATTATACCCGGAAGCTTCCTTATCGGAGCCCCGTGAAACCGGAAGTTGCATAACCTTGAAACAGGAAGTGCTAGTTCAGGCCTATGTCACTCCTCGACTGGATTTGTACCCAAAATTTCATCCTCATTGCAGCCTTCATGTAGCCACCAACCCGGACAGATAGGCAAACGACAGTCATAAATGATATTTATATCAATGTGAACTGTCAGAAGTTGCTATCGCGTGTTCTAGAAAGAGGATATATCCGACTTCGTTCACTAAACGATTTTTTCTGATACCTCTTATTTAGTGGGAAATTTCCTAAAAAGTAGTGAATATATACATTGCCTTGTGCACTGTGGTTTTCATTAATTATAGCTAATTCAAATTTAGAACATGTTGCTTTCCTTAAAAAGGGGGGGGGGGTGCATGGTTTAACGCGTGTTCGATAGATTATAAGGTTTGTTATTGGGTGGCATGGTTTCGATTCCCCGCTTGTGCTTGGCAAGGAGTAGGGTCGCCTAACCACCTCCCTGGGTTGTCTCTGGGTCATCCGGTTTCCTCTCACTGCTAGCGAATTATTGAAATACAATGGAACCGTAAAAATATTAGTCCCGAAATGACGTTAAATCGCATCTCTCCACCTTCCCCCACCTTCTCTCGCTCTTCCTCTCTCGCTTGCTTTCGTTAAAATAAAAAATTTACATGTGATTGATTGTTGCTTATAATAAATGTTATTGTTGCTTCGTTAATTGAATTAATCTTGACATAAACATGTACATCTACCATCACTATCATCAGGAAAAGTAAATAAATACTTCAGAAATCTATTAATTGGTCTCTTGCAAATTTAAAGTGGTCTTCACGCGTTTGGACGCTTTCGCCTTTTCGTAAAATGGCATTTTGGATTAACGTAATTTGATCATACAGTGAGATGGGCATATTCATTTTTTATAACAATATTTATTCGATCAATATTTACATATTATAAAGATAAAACATTTAATTATGGGATCTGAAAACAAGCCAGAGCTGATATAAATCCATATTCAATTTCAATTATGATTATGAAAATGTATCAACGATATCACTCTGGGTGGAAGCGGATATGAGAAAGTAAGTATGTTCCAATTAGACTGTATGAAAATCTCCTACACGATAGCTGAGCATATAGGTTTCTTCAGCTTGCGATTTTCGCTTCGTGAACGCTTGTTAAAAGCCACTTACACTTAGAATCCCAGTTCTTGGATTTTAGATAATGTGGTAATTAACTTCAAGGTTATTTTTGAATGTGGTATTATTTTTCTTGGTGAGAGTGATAATACCTCTTTAAAGACTACGTGTCTAAGTAAGTAATTAGTACAATAACAATATTATACTCGCTCGTCAAAAAGTCGCTTACTCGAAGTTTTTTAATTTTTGATGATTTTGCATGTTTAAGGTATTTTTTTAGGATATTATTTATTTTTCTTGGCGAAAGTAATAATACCCCTTTAAAGACTAATTGTCTTAAAAGCAATTAATATAAAGACAATAATATACATAAATGTATCAGCCATTATCACAATGGTCGACCAGTTCACTTTAATCAATTTATTGAATTGAAAACTCATAAATAGTGTCAGCAGTTGGTAACTGGAACAAAACAACAGATACATACTACGAAACCGGAAGTAGTAGTCCATCGACACCAAATTTCAACCTCGGGAAGCCCTAGTGTAGCCGACAACCCTGAACAGACAGACAGACAAACAAACATATGACAGTCACAAATATTAGTATATATAGATAGAAGATAGATAGAACAGTCACGTTTGGGAAGATGAATATCAAATTTTAAGATCGAAACAGGACAGAATACAATTCGACTGAGGTTGTGTGGTGAGAACAGAACAGTCACAACTGGATTCGGCAACCTCCGTTAATTTTCAAGCCCGCTACGTACGTTGTTATTCTTCATTGGGTGGTGCCCTGGAAGATAAACTTAGGCCCCGCAAATTCATGCACAATCAGCACGAAACTTGGCATGATTATTGCCGGATTTGGATTTTTGGATATCATGCCACAATTCCAAGATGGTTGCGATGCCGCCATGGTGGGTTACTGGTCTAGTACGCTCAAATCAACAACAGTTTCTTTTTATTAAACCCATCGATTGAAATGGAAACTTCAATTCACTTAAATAAAGATATGTTGATATAGAAGTAGCTGCGTTTCAGAAATCCTATATGTTTTATTTAAATTTTTAGTAAAATAATCCAATACCAACTGTACAGCAGAATTGGACACAACTCTTGAAATTGAAACGTTGATTGATTTATAGAAATGTTACGTGTTTCTACGTTTAGAAAAATTTAATCGATGCCTCTTTATATTTTGCAATATCGACTTCTTGCATCATATTTGATACGAACGAAATGACCCGAGGAGATAGCAGTAGGCCTATTTCTCTGACTGATATTTTAAGTAAAGCAGAACAAATATATTTCATGCAGCCATGTTTTTTTCCTTTGTTTAAATCCAGCCCCAGTCTCGTTAAATTTAACTATAGTAGCAAAGGGTGTCTTAAACTATATAGTCGGCCTGACGTAAATTATACTATTCAAAAAAAGTAGGGGATATTTGATTATGGGGGCATAATACTAAAATATGCAAATGACTACGAAAAAAGTCAATATAGAACCTAACAGAAGAAACATTTCCAGTTACATGTGACGCCCAAACGCACCAATAGCTACCGCATGGAATGCAGGTGATGCTTGGGATCATCATGGGGGTCCAACCCAAGATTTGCACGACTCTGACTTTGAATGTTACAGTCATTGTGGCATTGAATTCCAGGGTGGAAACATCAGTTTAATTGTTTTAGTGACCAGAAAACAAATTTTGATATGCGTCGGCTTACCCAAAATGAAAGGTTACGTGCCCTTGGCATGCTACAGATCGGCACAACACAGGCGGTTGTGGCGAGGACGATGAATGTTTCTCAGTCTGTCATAAGCAGGCTATGGTCCAGATACCGTGATACACAATCTGTACAGGACAGACCACGCTCAGGTCGACCAAGGGCGACAACTTAAGCCCAGGATCGATTTATCCGTACCTTGGCCTTGAGAAATCGTGTCATCACAGCAAATCAGATCAGCGCTCGTCTTCAAACAGACACTGGTGTGAGAGTGAGTGGCCAGACGATTCGGAATCGACTGCATAGGGGTCACCTTCGCGCCCGACGTCCTCGCGTGATTCCTTGTTTGAGAGATCATCACATTCAGGCAAGACGTCGTTGGTGTAGGGATCGTCAACACTGGGATAATCGACGCTGGAGCAATGTGATGTTATCAGATGAGTCAAGGTTCACTGTTGATTTTTTGGACAGACGTAGGAGGGTGTGGCGTCGTCGAAACGAGCGCTTCCAAGACGTTAACGTCATCAGACATGATCGATTTGGGGGTGGTTCTGTTATGGTCTGGGGAGGCATCACTGTTGCTGGAAGAACGGCTTTACATGTTGTTGCAGGGCGTGTTACAGGCCAGTACTACCGGGACAACATCTTGGCAGTCCATGTTGTGCCGTTCGCACGACGTCATGGCCGCCGTTTCATCTTCCAGGATGACAACGCAAGATGTCACAGGGCCAGGATCGTTACAGGTTACCTCCAACAACAGAACATCACCACATTACCTTGGCCAGCACTGAGTCCCGACCTCTCCCCCATCGAGCATGTCTGGGACATGCTTGGACAGAGGTTACGTCAATGTCAACAACGTCCTGCCAATGTCCAAGAACTTGCTGCTGCGTTGCAACAGGAATGGGACAATCTGGACCAAAATGACCTTAGACGTCTCATTAGGAGTATGCCACGTCGGATCAATGCTTGTTTGGCAAACAGAGGAGGATTTACCCGTTACTGACTTGGTTGTGATGCTGTGGTAACTTTGCTGTTTGACCCCGGGTATCATTTTACCCTTATAATGGTCAGTCTGTGCCTTACTTAGTCTAACGATCATTTGGAATAAATCGATGAATGTGAACTTCATTTCATTTTGTCATTTGTTTCTTCGTCAGTTTCATTAGGTGACTTTAATAACACTTAAAAATCAAATATCCCCTACTTGTTTTGAATAGTATATTAATGTTTCTTTTCTCACTTTATCAATAGAGTAAATTAGTAAAGTATCACCAAATCATGTATGTATGTCCTTGCACAGTTGGCCATACCAATGGATGTCGTACAAGAGGCAGAGTATTTTATATTATTGAAATGAAATTAAATGAAATGGGGTTTGACGTCCTACTGTTCTGCTCCGACTGGCCTAATAAATACGGTTTTTATTATTGTAGAACACATGAGAGCATAGTTTTGCATTGACTAAATAGACATACGTTTCTTGGACACATTTCAGACAGCCTTGCGTCATACATCTGAAGATACCGAGCGTTTTCATTTACAGCGCCCCTTATACATTCAGACGAATGCAAAAAATAATATATATTATATTTTCCTATTACTCTAATACACGTGGAGGCAGACGTCAATTAGGACGATGTCCATAATCACTACAATCAGTTTTGATATGTTATGTTCGTTCCTGTGTGCGGTATTGGTTGTTAGATTTATAGATGTCACGACTTGTAATATTTGTTGAAATAAAGAAGTAAAATCCACAGTCATTGCTATCATTAGATCACTGGGTTCTTATGTTACATCTACGTATTATTCACTTGTAAACATAATATAATATTATTCTCTATAAGTTCAGCTATAATACAAGTCTTTGATATTTTATATATTTTAGAAGAATACATATTGTTTTCTCTGTGGATTCATGTATTTTTTATGTTCACTCCCAGTTATCGTTTACCTAGTGCTTGATAACAAGAAGAAATGAAATGAAATGAAATGAAATGGGGTTTAACGTCCTACTGTTCTGCTCTTAAACTGGGCTAATGAAGACGGGCATACGCCCGGGCAGCGGCGCTACGGCCTACTCTTATATCGAATTCCAACTGCCAACTGGGCTAATGAAGACGGGCATACGCCATACAGTGTGCTATGAGGGAAATTTTGCCCGGTCAGCGGCGCTACGGCCTACTCTTATATCTTATATCGAATTCCAACTGCCAAGGGATCTTTTACGTGCACGCCAATATGTACACGAGATCTCGGTTTTTCGTCCCATCCGAACGACTAGACAGCTGTCCTTGTCAGGCCCTCCGTCCTGCATCACTGACAAGGGGGAACCACGCCAGAAAATCTGGATGAACTTTCTCGGCCAATGCAGGGATCGAACACCCGACCTCCAGGCTAGCGAGCCAGCGTCTTACCCACTTAGCCACGTGATCTTTTGATAACAAGAAGACGATACTTGTTGAAACGTTGTACTATTAAAGTTGCTAGTGATTGTTATCCATAAGGATATGTTTGTGTCATTTCATATCTAACCCAAGCCTGCTTCCGGTCTTATTTGAATCGCACAAATTACTCACGTCTGCAGTTACTAAGTATTAGAGTACGTATTTCCGTGTGTTATATGGAACCCCCCCCCCCTCCCACACCCTCAAAAAAAAAGACACAACAACACTATATATTTTATTACAGACACCAAACAAACGTATCATTAAGTCCCCCTTTCGATATAGCTTTGTTGTACTTTTGTATTCAATAAAATTACGTTTACTATAACGCGTTTATATTCGTGCTTAGTGTTTTTAATTTGTATATTATTGCGTGAGCGTTAAATGTTTTCTCTATTATATTGCACGTATGCTAAATGTTTTGTTTATTACCACACAAGTTAAATGCTTTTTTTCTATTACCACCCAAGCTAAAGCTTTATTTGTTTATTACCATTTTTGTTAATGTTTTGTTTGTCTTATGAGTTAAATCAAAGTACATTTAATGTTTGCTCTAATGCCACGTAATGTATTGTCTTTTGCAGGTAATGCCACCCAAGTACAGGTAGATTTGGTCTTAAATTCTATTGGACCTGTTAATGATATGGACATGGTAAGTCACGATTACGTATTGTCCCTTAATATCTATTTTTAGAAAGTGCAAGTCACGATAAGGTATTAAAATACCTTATCGTGACTTGCACTTTCTAAATTGTGCTAAAGGTTTGTCTGACTTACCCTTGATATACATTTCCTGATTACCGTATAATGCAGATTTGGTAATCATTATACGAGACCAATTCTCGGTTATACATTTTAATGTTATTTTACTAACTTTGGTGGTTTACCATCCTCATACTGTTCATTTTATAATTTGCAAAATTTATATGCATTTTGCATTGCAGGAGATCAGTGCTAGCGTGTACCTCAGACAACAATGGATGGACAAACGACTAGCTCATAATGTTTTCAATCGAAGTATTGTTATCAGTTACAAACATTTAGATGAATTGTGGGTACCGGATCTTTTCTTCCCCCAGTCGAAAACAGAGCGACGCCATGTGTTAACCACGCCCAATATTTTGATACGACTGGAGACTGATGGTTCTATATTATATAGCCAAAGGTGAACTTAAAAAAAATGTTTTCCATTTTGTATACAAGGAAGCCAAACCTGTATTCGAACGCAATTAAAGCGACTAATGCCTTTTCCTATTAGCAGGAAAACGATCCGAGTCCAGAAATATCACCGTTTATGTAGGTGAATTTAATAGGTAGAAATCAATAGACAATGTCTAAATGTGTTCAGTCCATTACATTAAGTCATGAACACATTATCTAAACTAACAATTTATGTAGCATTTAATTGTTCTATAAACAAAACTAAACAAACCTTGTAAATGTTATATCCCGATGTAACGTGGTAGAAGAAATCCCAATGTTTAAATGTTAGATAACGTTTACATTTAATGTAATTATATGATGGTCATAGAGTTGTGCATTCTGTTTAGTGTAAATAAAATGTATTTTGTGTTCTGTTTTTATAGGTTATCAGTTACTTTACAATGTTTTATGGAATTACATAACTTTCCTTTGGATTATCAAAAGTGTGCTATAGAGATGGAAAGTTGTAAGTTGATCAATTTGTTATAATATTTTTGAAAATAAAGATGGTGTTGCACAAGGTTTAGTTCTGGGACCTTTAAATATTCGTTCTTATGTAAACGACTGAACTTCAGCATAATTCAACAGTTACATCAAAATAAAAGGCTATAAAGCAAATTCGCAAAGCGGAATGAAATGAGGTTTAACGTCCTACTTTCCTGTACCGACTGGGCTAATGAAGACAGTATATGTTAAAGGTTTACAAGAGTCTTTCCCCACGAATTAACAATCTTCATTCTCTAAAATGATCTGGGATTGCCCCTTTTATACAACCTTGTATTTTTTAAATTTTATTTAGACAGTTACTCTACTGATCAACTGTATTTTATCTGGTCATTAGACCGAGGTTCTCTAAATGTACAAGACAACGCCTTTATTCCGGATTTCACCATAATAGATGTTACATCAAACGATTGTACATCAACATACGCAACAGGTAAAGGCCATTTTTTCAAACGATTGTCGATTTTAATAATAACGATTTCCGAAGAGGTTAATCTAAACACCAAATCCAAGGTACATGCCGGAAATGATACATGTCGTGCATGTCGCAGACAATCCCTACACAGATACCATTTCTACATAACTAACTACATAGTTAAGATACTGGAATATTTGTTTTTGAATTAAATTTGAAAAAGATAGTAATACATCATCCACGGCTTGTTTCAAATGGTAGCTAAGGTTAAGTCAACAATGGTCCATGTTGTTACACTTTTGGGTTTTATGTCGGGTTCTTGACGACAACACTGGTTTAACGTCATATGATACTGTTATTGTCCCCCGCCTTTCGAAGAAAACTGGAGACTATTAAAATGGGTTCGTCTGTCTGTCCGCATGTCTGTCTGTCTGTCTGTTCGTCACACTTTTTGAGACACAATAACTCTCTTTCTAATTGAGCTAGAAGATTCAAACATGGTGTAGGTGTTTATTAGGTCAATACCTTGATGGAGTTCGAAGGTGAGCAATTTCTGGTTACGGTAAGCAGAGATATGCAATTTGATTGGTTGATGCTTTGGGACACGATAACTTTAGCTCTAATTAAGTGAGAGTGATGAAACTTGGTGTATAGTTTCACTACATCAATACCTTGATTAAGTTTGATAATGAGCATTTTCTGCTCAGGGTAAGCAGAGCGATAAGCAATTTGATTGGCCGAGACTTTGGACCACAATAACTCTCTTTCTAATTAAGCTAGAATGTTCAAACTTGGTGTAGGTGTCCATTAGGCCAATGCCTTGATGGAGTTCGAAGATGAGAATTTTTTCTGCTTAGGGTTAACAGGGATAAGCAATTTGATTAGTTGATGCTTCGGGACAACTTTAGTTCTAATCAAGTGAGAGTGAGGACACTTGGTGTAAAGCTTTATCACATCAATACCTTGACTCTGTTCGATAATAAATATTTTCTGCTGAGGATGAGCAGAGCGATAAGCAATTTGATTGATCAAGACTTTGGAACACAATAACTCTGCTTTTAATTAAGGTATAATGTTTAAACTTGATGTAGATGTTCATTAGCTGAATGTCTTGACCGTCTTGTTTGCTGATCTCGTTTCCCTTCTAGACAATGGCTACTGTATCATATCAGATTTAACCTTCAGTACAATTTGCTTATAAGACCAAGGGCATTAAATAAAACAGGCCAGCCATAAGTTTATATTATGGTAATGACTAATGAATGCCATCAGGACCACGATGGGTGTCAATCGCCAACATAAGAATATTATAATCTATTCTGCTTCCATGTGTCATGATGACACGAAGCGTACCTATAACATCTGTCATTATGTAACATTGTGAACCAACAGCTGTTGTTTTCATTCAAGAATAAAATATTGCGTGACCAATGTCATTAATGAAACAATCTAACTTACGTCAAAAAGAAACATTGATCAGAAACTCGATGTAAGTCTTACAAACTATGTATTTTCTACACGTATATTGACTATATATATATCACGACATGAACCCCACTACCACTATTCTCTTATAAAATATTTAAACTATTTTCATTTACTTGGCTAGATTTTATAAATATTAAAAGGTTTTAGTGATAGTTTAACGCACAGCAATCAGCAGAACTCACATGGACAACGGAATCAATGCATCCATTAATATTTTAAGGAGTCTGTTATAGCAAACTAATTAAACGAATCCGGTCATTAACGAGACCTGGCCTGTAAAGAAAATATCTCAGAATTGTTATCTTGATTGGTCGGGTCGCGACGGTAAATCAACAGAAACATGTAAACATCAAAGGGTCATAATCGCTTGAAAATATAATAAACTGGTTGCATAAATCTTTTATGATTTCTGGGCTCATCAAATTTTCCAGGTGGGAGGAAACTCCATATAGTTCTAAAACCCATTTCCTTTATCATTTCAGGATCATTTACCTGTCTAAAGGCTGAAGTGGCATTAAAAAGAGAAATAGGATTTTATATAACTCAGACATACATACCCAGTATATTGATAGTTATCTTATCATGGGCTTCATTTTGGATTGATCACGAGGCAGTTCCCGCCAGAATATCAGTTGGTTTATTGACAGTTCTTACCATAACAACACAAAGTTCAGGTGCACGTTCTCAGTTACCAAGGGTACCATATATAAAGAGTATTGACGTATGGATGGCCGTCTGCCTAGTTTTTGTTTTTGGCGCCTATATGGAATATGCTGTTGTTACAGTTTTAAGCAGAAGACACAGAAAAGCTGCAGACAAGAGAGTATGTTGCTGTTTGTTTAAATGATATAATTTAACATCCGAAATGGCGGGTGTCGGAAATTAGGAATTTGTCTTGGAAATAAATAAAAACAAATTAAATTTGAGACTAACTGTCCGCTATCGTTACCACTGGTCACAGGTGGCGCCAGTGATTCTTGTTTCTATTCGCTATGCATGAAGATCGATTCACTGGCAGATGCCATTCGAACAAGAATAGGCGGAAAGTCGATGTTCAGGTTATAATCTACCCCTCCCAGGCCTTAACCACAGAAATTAAAATTACCGGATGTTAGGATCAAAATGACATCAGTAAAGTGTCACTGGACTCACAACCAGAATGTACTTGGTCCGATTCCCGACCAGGGCCGAAAAGAACATTGTCAGGGATGGCGATTGCGGTGTTGACATGGTAATTATGCCTATGTATAGTCTTTCGCATAGACACACAACAGCGTCCCGTATGTAAATTCAGGGTGCTCGTAATAGATCCCATGGCAGTCGGAATTCGAAGAAAAGTAGAGGGAAACGCAGTTCTCAATGATAATTACACCCCTACCCACCCACCCACCCGCATTACTAAGTAACCATAAAAATACAATTTGCCGTGTATTTGTTTGTGTAGTAGGATGTTCCATTTTGCTAAAAAGTTTTCATAAATCGTCCCGCGTCGTGTCATGAGCTTCCACATCGGTTAAAGATGTTTCTGGGAAAGCTTTAGATTTTTTTCCCAACCAAGCGTCTGATTTTGTTGCCATTTTCTTTTTCAAAATGGCCACCAAATGGCCCAACATATCAATCTGAAAACCGTTTTTACAAAATGGAACACCCTACTGTATATTTATTGTAATCTGATTGCACTTCTTGGAATTGAATCTTTTTTTTTTTTAATTTTTTATTTATTTATTTGTTTATCTTTTGTATTTTAGAGTAAATCTGAAGTTTCATTAAATGGTGTTGTTATAAAGAATGGAACGAGTGACATTTCCAGTAATACTACAGATAAAACAAACGAGGTGGCACACCCTGGTAGAACTGTTGATAAACGTTCCAGAATCCTTTTTCCTCTCGCATTTCTAATATTTAATTTGGTTTACTGGATCTATTATATACACGGACCTAAATAATTACATTATCAGGTTCATCCATTTTATTTACAATATATCGGATAATCAAAGATGTCCAATCAACATATTGACCAGGGGCCGGTTGCTCAAAACTCGGTTCTTTTAACGATACGTTAAACTCTAACGGATCGTTATTTTGTTAACGTGTCGTTTGTTAAAGGTCCGTTAAATTTCTATTGCTGGAAAGTCAATTTCATTATCCGTTAGCTAACGGACTGATTAAACTTAATCCATTTGAAGACTGTTTGATCATTGGCTGAATTTTTAATGTACGCTCGTACACGTATAAATTCTTCATAGAAGTTATTATTAACAAGAAACTGAAGAAAGTGGGACAACCGTGCAGTTTGTTCACAAAACTTGATTAAAGACAAAAAGAAAACTGTAGAATTTGCTCGAGAAAACACTATCTGATCTATAGAATAGTATAGTATTTTCCAATAGAAATTTTAGCATAAATCTGTAGGAAATATTATAGGATCTGCACTGCACTGTAGTATATTTGGGTCGTTTTTCCTGCAGGCTCTCAAAATTCTTTAGGATACTATAGAATTTCATCCTATAAAAATGTGATACCCCCCCCCCCCCAACCCTCTAGAGAATGTTCAATATAATTCTATAGAACACTACACTGGTAATCTACAGGAGTTTTTGCTAATTGTATACTTCAACTGACCGTCAGTCTACTAATGCCATCGTTAAACAGATAACGGTGCCCAACACCTTCGTTAAATTTAACGGCAAGTTAACGACATGTTAAAGTTAATGAGGCTTCCAGTAACAGACTTTCTCTCCGTTAAAGAAAACGATCCGTTAACTTCATGTTAAATATAACAGCAAGCTAACGGGGCATCCAGCAACCAACTTTCTGTCCGTTAAAGATAACGATCCGTTAACTCCATGTTAACGAGTCGTTATAAGCTAACGGGGCTTTGAACAACCGGCCCCAGATATTTATGATATATAAGATGAGGAACACAGGTCATGTCTGTATGCGGACCAAGTTGGTTTTTCTTCCAAATCCCAAATTTAATCTGTATAGAAGTTGGTAAAGTGTTCAGGTTTAAATCTCGTCTCCATTAACCCAGTCGAAGCAGTAGGGCGTTAAACCCCATTTTATTTCTCGGTTTAAATTGCAGTAAAAAGTTGCCCATCTTGAAGTTCTAAACCGTAACGCTTTACTGGCAAGTGAACAGTTAATACTGAGAAGTATATGCTGACCAAATATTGACCGAACATAAATAAAGGCGTCAGTCTTTAAATATCCGATTATATATCAGCGAATAAAATAAATTTAAATTTAACTAACTGGAGCGTCAAATTTTTAATGTGCATTATTTAGTTTTTATTTTGGTGCTATGAGCGACGTTTTCTGGATGTTCAGAAAACGATAATTTACTCAAATTTCTGTATTCCTCCGATAAATTCCAGTCCTTTCCGATGTGTGCAATAAAGCCCACTTCCGAGCAAATTTGTAAACGTTCTATGAGAGTGAATGGTTAGAAGAAATGCCGTGTATTTGCATTACTGCTTTACACTTTGCTTGAAATAAGTTAGGCATCAGCCTTCTTTTGAAGTAAAGATAAGGCTATATGAATTTCATGTTCCCAGGCGGAAAAGGGTCGAACTACGCTTACTTCCGCTACTGGTACGCTACAGCTATAACTACATATGATCTAAATTCAATCTGGGCACCTGCTTCAAAGAAAAATGCCAATGCAATAGAACATTAAAAATTAAAACGAAACCTCATAATTTAATCAGAAAAAAAACAACACAGTTTACATGGAAAACAATCACTTGTTTATACACATATAGCACGACGTTTCAACAAGTATTCTCTTATCGTTTTCCGGTACAATTTTTTTTTAATAATATGTACTTTAAAACGATAACAGAAGAACTTGTTGAAACGTTGTGCTATATGTGTATAAACCAGTGATTGTTTCCCATATAAATTGTGTTGTGTTTTTTAATGTGCTCATTTGCTAAATGCCACTCAATGAATAGATTTTAATCACAGATTGGTATTGAATGTGTGTGTGTGATTTATAGCCTTTAATAATTATTGAAAATATAGGCAGGGCTGGATTAACCATTAAACAAAATAAGCACGTGCTCAGGGTATCATGGGAATTAGGGCACAACAAAATGTCTGCTTTGTTACATGCCAAAATTTAAATGTTAAATTTAAAAAATATTTAAGAACTTTTAATTCGTCTTTCATTGTTTTTGTTTTTTCTTAGTGTTACCTTTTTTTGTCGTAATTTAATCCGGCCCTGCATATTGACTACTCTGTTTGATTTTACACATCTACAAGTGTAAGATAAGAAAAACATTATTTTTTCTTATATTTACATTTCATAATCATTAATTTCGGGTACAACGTGAGTATTTAATAATGGAGCTATTATTTTTTCAATGCATATTTTCATCCTTTGTGATGATGCATTTAATCAGCACGCGAACAATATAATATTTTTTTACACATGTGTTAAGATATGTTATTTTTGTATGTTTATATTGATATTGAGTGTATATATTTTAACAGTTTGTGGACCATACTGTTTGCATTTAATAAGTTTGTCATTTGTTAATAATTGTGTAAGATTATATGGGCTTTTTTTGTTTATACACGTGTATCACGATATGCCTACATCAACATATTTTGTAAGATCGCTTAATGTTTTGTTTTGTTTGAATATAAACAACTATAAAACCAGCAAATGAGTCTTTGTAATATGAAAATGATCGATTTATTCCATCTGAATATCATTTGAAATCTCATGAAACGGGTCATTTTTTTTTAAACAACTCTTTCCATCGGTTCTAGATCCAAACGTGCAGAAAAATAAAAAGGTAAATTCATGTGGATTAGAACTGCTATATTCCGTATAATCCATACGATAGCACTGATTTCCTGCAATTCAAAATGCAAATAAAATTTACAAATTATCAAAGGTCCAGTATTGGGATCGTAAATCAATCTATACTAAGATTGCCTTAAAGGTGTATTATTTAAGAGCTAAAATCTGTCCATTGCAGGTCTTTATTTTAACTTCAAATGTTATATCAATTATTATTCAGTCATTTGTTTACATAAGTAAAGCAATCTCTGGTGGTTTTGTACTTAGGATATGCATGTACTCTAGAAAGTACCATTTACAGTCATTTTTTTCAAATATTTACTGGCGCCTGGGGGCAGATAACCCCTAGAGTAGGGGCCAGGCTCAGAGATATCCAGCCACGTCCGTCCCTGTTATAAGAGTCAAATTAAATACAGCAGAAAGATGAGTCTCACATACTGTATCAGAATAAAATATTCTTTATATAAAAAAACATAACAAATACATGATCATTTATCACTGGTGCCACACGGTCCACCAATCCACGACGGGCCAAAATATTTGGGATAGCCGGGTAAAACTGTTCGACTGTGTTCAGAAACTTTGTAATACCTGAAATATATATTATGGAGGTAAAACACAGACATAAAACATTACAATGGACCAAATGTCATAACTAGATTAATAACACAATTTGAAGGAGTACTCTCGGGATTCAAAGCCAAAATGAAAGTTTTAGCTCACAATATTTTGCCCTTCAGATGTAATCGCTAGATTTAATTGACGGAGTTAGGTAACTCATTTTAGGAATGCCATCGGCCTTGATAACCACGCCGACCACTTAATACATGGCTATCCAGACCTTTAAGTAACCGTTGTGCTCTCCCCAACTCCCATAGACAATCACTCGCCATATAATGGCCTTTTCCACTGAAATCCTATTTCAAACTTATCTCGGAGTTGACCCAGTGTATCAAATATACTTCCAAAATATGTAATAAAGTGGGTGACAGCTTAAACATACTTTTGTCCTTTAAAGGCATAAATCATTCCATCTTTCCATCTCACCGCAGCATCAATATCATCTGGAAAGTCTCTCCAGAAAGAGTTAATCAGCATGGTAGACCCGGTTATAAGTTCTGTTACATAATTCCAACCCCAAAAATACTTTCTCTGAAAATACAAAAGTATACTTTCTTGGTAGTGATATCAGTTTTTACGTCATTTTTGATGAAATGGGAAAGAAAGGCATCCCTGGGGGTTTGATACTATACAAAGCACCATTTACAAAAGAATTTCTCAGTGTCCTTTAGCCTCCAATACGTCCCTGGCCTCTATTGTGCAAACCTGCGAAATGTGACGGATGGCAGGACATGGATGGCGGATATACAACCATATTAAAATGTGGGCATATAAAATCTACCATACCCCAAATAAAAACACTCTACTTCTTCCACGTCTATCATATATATTAACAGCAGCTACTGGAGGTTCGGGAAAAATACTGTCAATCTTCTTCGGATAACCAGTGTCAAGTTTCATATTTGTATATCGCCAGATTATATACCCTAAAAAAAAACAGCAATTATTATATTATATGTAATTATGGCGTCATTTTATAAAATAAATCATATGCCAGGATTTGTTGGTGTGATGGGGGTGGGGGGCGGAGGGGTCTACCCGAAAGATGCACTATCTTCTGTAGTACCCTGAGCCATATACGAGTTATCGCTGAGCAACCATTAGTGGTGTATGTAAATATGAGAACTTGTCTATACACATTTACCTTTAAAGATATACAATCTGTTATATTCTTGTAGGTAAACAACAGCTTGGGGATTGTAGGGTGCTTTTTGTAATAATCTTCTTGTTGGTACAGGATAACCACTATCTAAACTATAATCACCCAATCTATATATGTGATGTGACGTCAATACGTACGTTCTTTTTTGAATAGGCTCTGCAAAGAACAAATGCGCCTAATTTTAACTGCATATTTCATTAAGTAATAATGAATTTATAGAATATCTGAAATTAAACATATGTTCTGCTTAGCGAAGATAATATTACATTTTGTATTTCACATATATTAACACATACTGGTTCGTGGGCTGTGGCGAATAATCTGAGAACACCCACTGCCTAGTGGTTTAGTTGCTATAGCACAAGCCCAAACAAGCGAAACGAAATTCAGAGGTGCTTAGCATCCTACTTTTCTGCATCAACCGGGCTAATGAAGCCGATGACACGCCATGCAGTGCGCTATTATGGAAATTTTGGCTCGACCAGTAACATTTCGCCTGAACTTCCTTAAATTTCAACTGTCAAGGTTTCTGATACGTGCACGCCAGCGGGACCTCGGTTTTTGGTTTCGCCCCATCCGAAACCACGCTCAAAACTCCCGAGGAATGTTCTCGGAATTGAACGCAGGACCGTCTGGTTAGTGAGCCAGCGTCTTACTCACTGAGCCTTCTCAGCTCCCGAAGTCCAAACAAACACCCCTATTGACTATAAGTGGTGACGACTGTATCAATGACTGGTATGCTCTCCTTTCCGTGTACACAGCTAACTTAGAAAATGTTATTGTGGTTTAGTAATGAACCGATTATAGAAAGGTGCATTATCCGTAATGCTAGTCTATTGTGGTTTAGTAATGAAACTGTTATAGAAAGGTGCATTATCCTGTGGTTTAGTAATGAAACTGTTATAGATAGATCCATTATCCGTATGTGGTAGTCTATTGTGGTTTAGCAATGAAGCTGTTATAGAAAGGTACATTAACCTTATATGCTAGTCTATTGTGGTTTAGTAATGAAACTGTTATAGAAAGGTACATTATCTGTATGATAGTCTCAAAATACCCTATATCTAGCTTACCGTAGAATACATCTTTTATATTTAATCTACAAATAGCTGGTTTATTGTTCATACTTTCTTCTATTTCATCAAATTCCTCTTTTTTCTTCGTTTGTCTCAGAACGAAATTAGGATTGGAACCTGTATATAGAAAGATAAAACATAATAATTTAAACTAAACCTTAAGAAACGTACTTTCACGCTTTACAGACTTACCTCACCCGTGTGTTTTAAAGTCATTTTAATGAAAACTTAAAGTTCCCCTTCTCTGCATTGCACTCTTGAGAAGGGTTACAGTTGTCTCACTTATTTATGTTGAAATCAACTCTAACCATCGTATCAACCTCTGTTCGGTTCTAGTATACTATGTCAACTTTAACCCCCGTATCGACTTCTGTTTGGTTCTAGAATATTGTGTCAACTCTAACCCCTGTATCGACTTCTGTTCGGTTGTAGTATGGGAACTTCGGTTCTAGTATAATATGTCACCTCTAACCCTCGTATAGACTTCTGTTCGGTATTTCAAGAATATTGTGTCAACTCTAAATCTCGTATCGACTTCTGTCATCTCTAACCCCCGTTTCAAGAGGTTTGATGGTATTTATCCCACTTCCAATAACCTGTAATTAATGTGCGACATTTTGATAGGTGTGTGTATCGAGGGTTGTAATCCAGTGGCACATTAATCTCTTGTGCCAATCAGCAGCTAAATCTTAAATATTGGACCAATTAAAATCAGTCGGTTAGTTCACTTTACATTTGTATAAATTTCAATGGTTACTATATTCATACTCAATATATAAAATTTCAATGGTTACTATATTCATACCCAATATATAAAATCCTATATATTCATTTCTTGCAACATAAAGCTTATGTCGGTCGCTGACGATTAATTCTGAGATGCTGATGCGCACAATCTGGAAGGTCATCACATACAGATAAAAACTCCCGAAGAATCATCATAGATGGACTCATTTTTAAAAGTATATCATAAGGATTTAAGCCTTGTAATCAAACATTATGTTTATTCTTACCGTATATAGATTGTAATTTATTTACGTCATCAACATCTAAAGTAAGATCTGGTTCGAAACCTTTATATATCGGATACATAACGGCGTGTTTACTCGTAGAATGGGGTAGACCAAGACTATGTCCTGCTTCGTGAAGAGCAATAGGAAAAAAATCTTTTGCGTGTTCTTTTCTTAGGTTCTTTTTAGTAGCCCACTCCTCATCATTATCAAAATGGATGTCACCTGCCAGGGGACCATACCCTGGTCCATAGGCATGGGCCAACATTCTTCCTGTAAAATGAGTTATAAATTTGACGAACTTTTAATTTATTTGAATCTTGTTTTATTTCTTAACACAAATCTCTTAAGAGAAACGTAATGTTGATAGTTTTATATTAGTTTATATATATTAAATAAAAATGAGAATGGCGATAAAACAGCTCAGATTTGTCAGTTCAGCGGACATGGAAAGGTGTGGTCTAACTGGTCGGCTATGGAGAAAACAAATCTAAGTTGAGGTAAATTAATGTTCCCTTGACAGTTGGAAATCCGAGAAAAGTAGGCGTATATATTATCACACGTAATCAAAGGCAAGTCGTCCATGCTAAATAAATGCTAAGAAAATACAACCAAGTATTATAAAATCTGCCCGGTATCACGTTCACAAGCTTTTAACGTTACAACGTAATCATTGAAAAAATTCTTACAGTTTAGGGTCGAATCCCATACAATTCTTCCTTTTATCTGCATCACGTTCTAAAAGCAAACTGGGAAATTTAAAATCTTTGCGTCCCAACAGAAACCGAAATATAACACCCGACAATTACGATCAAAATACGTGCTGTAAACTCTATTGAGAAAGATGTAGACTGCATAATAGAATATACCACTTGGAAATCTTTATTCTCTAACTATAAGAAATACAGAATATACCTTTTCCATCAAATGCATTATAATTACCATCACCATGAATCCACCTGGCGAATGAAATATCTATATCTGGTGTATTACTAGTATGATGTATCTGTAATGGCGACGGTACTGACCACATGCTGAATATCTTATCCAAAATATTTCTGTGTATAAATTAAATATAAGTGAAGGGAATCCATATAAAATACGTTAATACAGATATTTTCAGCATTGTTACTTCTGTAACATTGACGTCATCCATGAATTTAACTTCGTTCATCTTAGTATTGTCTCCTCTTTGACTTCCAGGAAGAACGAACATGAGCATAAAGCATTGCCGTCCATTGGGTCTTCACTGGTTAGTATTAACTAATTACGGGATTTGCACTTTCATTGACGATTTTCAAATTATATTCTCTGCCAACTTTGAGACAAATCTGCCAATCCACCACATGGATAGAGACGTACCGTACACATCTTTAGTCGGAGTTTAGCGAAGGATAAGCCTTACTCTAAGACGGCCAGTGCAGCATTATTGTGAATATAATATTATCTATCATCATTGTAAAATGTTGTATTTAAACTTTAAAATGAAATGAAATGAAATGGGGTTTAACGTTCTACTGTTCTCCTCCGACTGGGTTAAAGAGGACAGGCACATGCCATTCATTATGCTGCGAGGGAAATTTTACCCGGACAGCGGCGCTACGGCCTACTGCAAAGGCATCTTTTACGTACACGCTAATGTGTACACGGGACCTCGGTTTTTCGTACCATCCGAAGGAATAGACAGCCCTCCGTCATGCACCACTGACAAGGGGAAACCACGCAGGAAAATCCCATTGAACTTTCTCGGCCAACACTTGGATCGAACCTGCGAGCAAGTGTCTTATTCACTTAGCCACTGTGGCTCCCAAACTTCAAAGAGAAAGATATGAAATGAATGGTGATGTTATAAATGACTCCTATGAATCACTCACGGTAACCAATGCATGGTTTTTTTTTCCAGTGGGGACAAATAACATATAATGTAGTAAGATAAGATACCTATACCCAATAATATATTAACATGAAAATGATGCTTTCATTGTTTATAATAAAGATTGAATGAATATTTAGAAATACACATGCCGGTAATAATAATTTATACGTACTGTTGATCTTGCCAGTATATTTTATTAGAGTACTGGGAGAGTCGCCATGTTAGTCTTCTACTTTTCCATTTATTTCCTAAAAATAAACATACAAACTTTGCAGACTTGATAATACCTTATAATTTCGAGGATAAGTGTATCATGAAATTGACATGAAGTTTATCTGCTTGATCGCATCGTCATATATGCTTATTATTCCAATATAAAGTTTTTGATTCAAAATTACCATTGCTGCGAGTCGAATTCAGAGATTTTGTAGTAAATAGTATTATTGGCGGTCAATATTCAGCACTTCCGCCCCCGCCCAATCGTATAGTTTCGTACGCCTAGATGAACTAGAACTAGAGTTGGGCCCCGCTTTCGTCAGGGCGTGACTGGGGAATCAACCTGATACGTACAGACGATGTTTTATTTGCGTACCAGTGCATGATCTTCGGTTTCGTAGCTCGTATTTCACATGCAACCATGGAAAATATAAATTACCATTAGCCAGACAAAGATTTTAAGGTCCCTTTTTATTCCGTGGAAAACGCAAAAATATACGATTTGTAGAACTTTACCATTTAGAGTCGTTTCAAATGTTTCGCTCGTGTCCCGTTTTTGTCTGTTGCCATTTGGTGTATGTGGTTGTCCTATATCCGAGTTACCACATCTTGGTTTAGACATGATTCTAGACGTCTGTCTGTTTATCTTTCCTGTAACTTTTAACCCGTTCATCGTCTGATATAATCTACAAAAAACAAAAACATCCCAATGTAACCTTTAAATGGCCACAAATATATCCATTCGTGATAGCTATGTTCTTAAACTCTTGATTAAACCATAATTCTGATAATAAATCCCATTCCATTCTGTATCCGCAAATCTAACCTTGTTACGAGGGGTGATTGATAAGTAGTGAGTCTAACACAGAAAGAAACAAGACATTCAAATCAAATGCATTTATTTTTCAACATAGTCCACCTTCAATGTAATACACTTCTGCCATCGGTGTTGCAGAGCCTTTATTCCAGTTCTGTAGAAGTCTTTGTCTTGGGTGTGTAGAAAATCATCTTCAGCGGCAATGACGTCAGACGGGAAATGCCTACCGGAAAGACATTTCTTCAGAGCAGGAAACAGATAGAAGTCTGAGGGAGCTAAATCAGACGAGTAGGGTGGATGCTGAAGAAGTTGAAAACCACAGTCATGAATTGCTGACATGGCAACAGCTGATTTGTGCACTGGCGCATATTCTGGTGGAAAATCACTTTCCTCGTCTTTTGGTCTTAATTTCTTGCCTCAACTGCCTTATAAGTGCTGCATAGTATATACTGTTAATTGTTTGACCCTTTTGGAGGTAATCCACCATGAGAACACCCTCAGAATCCCGCAATACTGAGGCCATCACCTTTCCTGCCGATGAAACAGTCTTTGCCTTCTTTGGGGTCTGCGACGTCACGTTTCCACTGTTTTGACTGCTCTTTTGTTTCTGGCTGAAAGTGGTGAACCCAAGTTTCATCCATAGTAACAATTTGGTTTAGGAAGCGGTCAGAATCGGTTTCAAATAAGGCTAGATTCTCTTCTGACATGATGTGTCTTGAACGCTTTTGATCATGCGTCAAAAGCTTTGGCACCAATCGTGCTGAAACCTTTGTCATTTCCAAAGTTTCAGTGATAATAGAATGAACTCTCTCCTGGCCAATACCAACTACCCCAGCTACGAACCGTTAAGTAACTCGCCGGTCATTCATTATCAGATCATGGATTTTTTGTACCATTTCAGGTGCTGACACAGTTTTTGGTCGACCAGGGCGTGGTTCGTCTTCAATGCTGTCTCGGCCACGCTTGAATTCAGCTGACCACCTTTTAATTGTGGCATATGAAGGAGCATCATCTCCTAATGTCTCAACCATATCATCATGTATGGCTTTCGGTGTTAGACCCCTTTTTATGCAGATACTTAATCACCGCTCTAGCCTCGATATGGTCCATTTTCTGATAACAACAGACCCTACTTGATTGTTATTACCTGTCACAACCTCACAGTTTAACCGAATGTGATGAAAGTTTGTGACAGAGCCCGAGGAACATAATAGTGCACGTTCAATACGTGGTATCATTGTGTTGCACGGTTTTCCAATCGAGGCTCACTACTTATCAATCACCCCTCGTACAATATTATAATATTTAGGTCATGTCAATATACAATCTTATTAAAATACAGATCTATATTTCGTTTCGTTTTTTTAATATACTTTCGATGGCCTACACTACACGAAGATCTGACCAGTTGTACTGGGAGGTCGGGTCAGGGGTCATACGAGCGGCTTTTGACCCAATGATGTCAGACATTGATTAATGAATCAGCATTGGCGTTTCTATGGGTTTACCCACTGTTCCGTGCAGAGAACGCCAAGAACTCGCCGTAACAGACCGTTTCATTGGCTAATTTCTGACATCAACTAGAACGCATGTTATATAACAACTCATCCAGATCCTAGTTTTGTTAAGACAAGTAAAACGAAATTTTGAACTATAAAAAACAAAACGAAATAGGATCTGTGTTTAAATCAGATTGGTTTTATTTTAAAATAGATCATAGAAACAATGCAGGCTAACCTTATTGCATCTTTTCTTAGTTGTCGTTGATGATGAACATGGAGACTATTATGGCCGCCGTCAGGAAGGTAGCCAAACTTCTTTAAAAAATCCTGTAATAAATAATTAAATTAAAATAAAAAAAAACAAACATGGATATCCAAAAAGGAAATTGACAAATTCAAACGACCATGGTTACATAAAATGAGCGAATCACAGCCTAGCTAGGTAATTTAACGGTTATGTATGAGCTAATTCTACTTCCGGTCAAATTTGAATCCAATTTCCCATTCTACTCTAGCTGTCGGGGCCACGCTGTTTCGCTAGCCTGGAGGTCGCCGGTTCGATCCCGGTGTTGGTGGTTTCCCCTTGTCTATGGTGCAGGGCAGCGGTCCTGGTAAGAACAGCTGTGTTGTCGTTTGGATGGGACGAGAAATCGAGATCCCGTGTGCATATTAGCGTTCACATAAAAGATCCCTTGCCAGTTGGAATTCAATATAAGAGTAGGCCATAGCGCCGCTATCCGGGCAAAATTTCCCTCATTGCACACTGCATGGCGTATGCCCGTCTTCATTAGCCAAGTCGGGGAGTTGGATGGCTGAATGGTTAGCACGTGCGCGCTGTATCATAAAGCCTGTCATTGAGTCAACTGGCGTGGTTTCGAATCCCCGGTTGTACGTGACAAGGAGTAGGGTCGCCTGTCCAACCTCGTGGGTTTTCTCCGGGTCCTCCGGTTTCCTCCCACTGCTAAAGACCCCTACGCGCAAGCGAATTATTGAAATAAAATTAAACCATATGTTAGTCCCGAAATGACCTAGTTTGTGTCGAGTGGACGTTAAACCCCATTTCTCTCTCTCTCTCATTAGCCAAGTCGGAACAGAACAGTAGGACGTTAAAACCCATTTCATTTCATGTAAAATATCGTTTAAAATCCAGACTATGGACCAATGATGTTCCAGGGATTAGAGCCTTGTCGAAATAGTGTTTTTATCAAATCCTGCTATAATCTGAAGAAATTTAGTATTTAGAAAGGATTAACATAAATTTCGAAGATATGAAATTGGAGTAGTCGTAAATCTAATCGTATTTAATGCTTGCATATGGAGTAGAAACAACTATTATTGCCGTCTACGCTTACTGTATCTTACGAACCCACACATGGCCCAAATACAGAGTTTGAAAAGTCAATCGTTAAAATAGTTAGCAACTAAAATGACCTCGATTTACAGTTTCGACCGATATACAGGAGACATCATTCAGGGGTTTTGCATATAGGGAGCTTTTGTTAGAATTGGAAAATTAATATGTATATTATTATCTAATTAAGCATGTTTCTTCGGGCATATCTGTTCCATATAGATAACTTACTTTGATCTGAAATAAATAGATCTATAATTTTCTATGAAGTTTTAATGCATTTTCCTATCAATGGGTGTACTTAAGGATCCCGGCTGAAAATAATTAATATTATTTACTCCGTCTAAATAACTGTTTCTTGAACTAACCTTGCGTTTGAATCAATGTAATTTGTGGGGTTTGTTTTTAATAAGTCGAAGGTAAATCGTTGAATATATCGATATGTTTCTTAACCTTCCATTATTGGATGTAACTAATCGACGAGCTTGGATAGGTCATAGATAATTAAAGTTAATTACATTAACAATCTAATTAAAAACTATATGTTTATTTTTTGTCGTCTTTGTGGTTCTGATTTTCTACACTGCAGAAGTTCTAACATCAAGAGCGCCTGATGGTTGGACGGCTGGCGCGTCGACTGCATAATACCCGACTATAACTACTAATATTGGTTGGAGGTTAACGTATACGGCGCTTCCACAAAGGGTGATGTAGCAAACACGTGGCTAGTGCCGTAGTGGCGATATATATGGCGAAAATACAAACTCGAGATCAGGATTTATATGATTAATGGACAATTAAAATGGAAATGTATCAATATAATCAATAGCAAAGGGCATTCGAGAATGAATAAACATAACCTAACTCGCGCGCGACACTCGCCAACACCGTAAAATCATTTCAAGGGAAAATAAAAATCATCGAAAAAGATCAATAATGGAAGTAGATAGAGACGAATTACTATTCGAACTGTGGCTTGAGGACTTCAATATCTTTGTAGACAAAGCTCTACTTAACCACATCGACGGCATTATAACAAGGAAATAGTTCACAAACATTAACATTGGATTATGTTTTTATTACATTGGTGACAATAATTACTTCCAAATATCAAATTTCTAGATTCTTATCACCTTTATGATTGCTTTTCTATTGCATCATGTCCGATAGAATAATGAATATTACTTATGTTTTAGTTTATTTGGATGAGATATAATATTTCTAAAATCATTTAGCAAATTAAATATACCCTGAATTTGAAGGGTATATTAAATTTTAAAATAGAATCGAATAAATGTGCTAAACTTGTTATTTTAGAGTCCAAATTATGGCACTTCAGTTCATAGTAATGCAAAAATAAAGTTAGCAATGTAAATAAGTGGTATCACATGTTCAGAAAACAATTGATGGAGCGCATGTGGCTACTATATTTCGACCACTTACGGCTTAGTTTTGAATGCAACAAGCGCAAGTTACTAACATTTAATAAATAAAACTTACATTGGGGTTTACTCTGATAAATCTTCGCTGAATTTTCCTGATGTCTAGATCGATGCTTTCGCCATTTTGATAAATAAAAAGACACTGACAACTAGAAAATATAAAAAATAGTGAAAGGTAAACACCAAGATTCGTCCTTACACCCTCCTTCATTTTCTTGATACTTATATGAAAAAAAACCCAACTAAATATCGATATTTAAGTTTCTTAAGCATCCCATTTTAAAGATGGTGTTTACTCTTCACTTAAAGAAGCAACACGAAATAAATATGATCAATAAAAATTATCCTTATTTAAATGATTTAACAGAAATAAATGTTTAAAAGTGTAATACATTTTACCTTGATTCGACAAGCAATCATATGTCTCGATTATTAGGGCATTCCAAATGATTTCCTGGAAATTTCTGTATCATACGTTTTGATTGGTGGCTGATCGAGAGTCGACAAGTCAGAATCTTCGCATTACTGAACGCGCCTTAGAAAAAAAAATGTCCTAAGACCATGGCAAACAAACGGTAAATAAAACGGAAAGAAATGTTTTTATAATTATAATTTAATTAAACTTCTGTGTGTTAAATTATTATGTTATAATCAAACTAATATCAAGTTCAATAAAATGCACATATCCAATTTTATTTTTTGTATTTTATTTTTTGTAGAATTAAGACACCTGGTTGTATCTTTAATATAAGTTCAATCGCTGAACCATGATTTCATGCTTACTGATCACGTATGTGAATTTAAATCAACTACAGTAAAGATGAAAGAATTTTTTGAATCTTTTCTTTTGGTAACCCGATGTTTATTTTTTGTTCGTTGGATAAAGGCCACTAGAGAGACGTATCGATAAAAATAATTTGAATACATATTTTCTTGTGTATAAAATCAACCAAACATGACTTTAATTATTTAATTATGTTCAATGTTCATTGGAATGTGGTGGATTTGGCTGATACAATCACAATTCCTTACCATTAAGTAATTATTTCTGAGATATGTAATGGAATGAAAGAAAAAAGGTTTAACGTCCTACTTTTCTGTAAATTTGTAAGAAGAGATACGTAAACTAAACACTTTTTATTTATTATTATAAGAATTTCACTAGTTTGGGTCGTTGCTAACAGTTCCACCAAACTGCACACCACAATATCAAAATTTCACACTCTTTAATATTAAAAACCGTAAACACTTTTTATATTTACAGTTCAAAGAAAAAGAGAAAGGAGAAATAAATGATGACATTTCGTGTCAAATCAGTAAAATGAAATGGGGGTTAACGTCTTACTGTTCTGCTCCAACTGGGCTATATAATGAAGACGGGCGTACGCCATATCGGGCCTACAGTGTGTTTTGGGGAAAATTTTGCCCGGACAGCGGCACTACGACCTACCGGCACTCTTATTTGGTTTTATCCGAACGACTATACACAGTTCGTTGCCAGTTAGGGCCCCGCCACAGAGTAAACTCAGTGGCCCCGCCATGCCTAGCTGACAATGGCCGGTTTTGTACCGGTAGGGCCTACGCGTTTTCGTCGGGTACATGAAAACGGTTCCATTACATTTGCATACCAATTTTTCGACCGCGAAACAGGCCTTAGGATCGAACACCGGACCATCATGTTACTGAGCAAACGTCTTACAGTACTCACGGAGCCACCAGCTCCCGTGACAAATCTATGTTCGATACACCTCTGATTTTGCTGAAATTTGGGTTATTTCATTTTGCTTATTTTAGCTGCAAAATTTGGCGATTTTGGTTTAAATGCCATAGGGATGCCCACCAATATTCAAATGTCTGTAGCTTGGTCAAAATTGTTTGGAGTGATTTGACACAGAACAATGAACCGCCTACGCTAATAACACAAAGGCAGTATATAAGAACCGAACAAAAAATAAATAAACGGAGTTATAAAACAAATGATTAGCCTATATAGTTAAAGGGGGGTAACTCTATTTAAGAATCAAGGGGAGATAACAAATATTATGGCCGCCGTAAAAATGTCAACAAATGCAACTTTTCCAGAAAATCCTGATTGGATGTCAAAATTACCCGCAGATAAACACGAGACACCTTTAAATCAGTTGGCTATACCTGGTAGGTCCAGATGGAGTGATTGCCTTCTTTCTTCTACTAAATTTAAAACTCAAAATGGGCGTGTCGATCATGACAGTTCATTCCAAGAAGGCTGGTTATGTTTTTTTGGTTTTTTTTAGTAAGATGAGAAGGCTACTAATACAATAAGGAAATCAAAAGTTGGTCATGTTTTAAAAGCCACAAAATCAGTATTTTAACGTTTACGGTTTTGATCATAAGGTCTTTCTTGAGTCAAGTGGTGTGATTTCAATTTCAAGCTTACACAGAGGACTTTTCCACATATATATTGATATAGCCTATAACGTATAATCATGTTAATCTATATCATTCATTACCAACAATAAATAAGTGAAGAAAAACTGTAATAACAGCTAGGATTGCATGGCCTTCTGTAAGTCCTCCAAAGTCGACCACATAATTACTACCAAATCTGGTTAAGCCAGAAATAAAAATAAGGGAAATGAATAATATAGCCTATCATCAGTCTTATTTTAAACGAAATTATCTTACCACTGTTCTTTTTTCAGGTTGTCATGACTCTGGGTCATACGAGTTCGATAAAAATGGAGGAGTTGGTCCAGATGCTGATCAGATTGTAAAAGATTTGGAGAAGTTTTTTGGACCTTTTATTAAAGATATACTGTATCGATGGGCAAAAACACAAAATATGAACTTTGTTCAGCAACTGACAGCTGGTATGCGATATTTTGATTTACGAGTATCAACTAGACAGGGCACTGAAGATCTTTATTTTTTACACAGTCTGTATGCCGATAAAGTCGAGCCCTGTTTACACGAGATGGATATTTTCCTCGATGCTCATCCCAAAGAAGTCATAATTCTTGATTTTAACCACCTCTATGCGATGACTGATGCAATACACAAGCAGTTAGTTTCAATGATTCTGGCAATATTCGGACATAAAGTTTGCCCACTGCTGGATATGAGCTCCCTGACATTAGACACGTTATGGTCGAACAAACTTCAAGTCATCGTTATTTATCATCATCAAACTGCATTGGAAAATTACCAAATATGGCCCGGTAGCGTCATCCGATCTCCGTGGGCCAATACGACAGATGCGAACAACCTTGTGCAGTATTTAGAAAATGTTTACGACTCTGGTCATAATGAGGATATATTTTTAAGCTACCAAGGTGTTTTAACGGCTGATACTACCTACGTTATATCTCATGTTGCGGAGAGTTTAAAGACGGCCCTTGCTGATAAAGCTTCGCCTGCTGTTGTAAAATGGCTGTCAAACAAAGTGCCTGGGCCGAACAAGTTGAACATATGTATAATTGATTTTGCAGATCAGTACAACTTCATGTCAACAGTTCTTGCTCTCAATAAGTAAATTATTCATGATAAGTAAATTCTGAGATGAAATGTAACCAGGTTCCAAGATAACTATACTATACAGTCTTAAGACCAACTAGAAATCAGCCAGATTTCTTCAAGTTTGGGAATGTGACCTCAAAGATTTGTTGAAGAGAATCCTGTCATCAACCTCTCGAAGACAATAAATTGTAGTCCAATTATTATCTATTCAGATGGTGTATTGTATAAGTGTCATATTACACTGCTCTATATTTAGAATGTAACACTAAAGCTAGATGGGTTTGGAATCAGATTCTATGAAATTTGAATAAGAGAATACGAAAAACTAATCAAATTAAACACAGAAATAAACAAATTTAATAACAATTTAATAAAATTAAAAAAAATTGATTCAAATATTACATAATGTAATAATAAGCTTTTTAATTTGATGTAATATCTACAGCAGCTTGTCTAAGCCAGGGTATAAAATATCTTACATTATTTTACTCATATACTTTGATATTGACCAATTTGATGTTAACCAATTAAATGATTTTGGAACTTTTTCTTGGGGAGATAAATATTCATAAGTAAAACAAGGGTTGTTGAGCACATTACGATTGTCTAACTCTTGCCAATTATATATTGATTTCTATAGAAAGGGGCCAATATCGAAATATTAATGGCCTATTGATCCATCGTACAATACTATTTACGAACTTATCAATTATCAGTAAAAGAAAATTTGATCCAAAATTATCTATTTTGGTGCAAAAATATGAACATTTACTGATTATTTACATACAGGGAAAAGGTCACCCCAAAACAATCTACATGTATTTGTTATTTAAAAGATCTAAATCGCTAATATTTAGGACCTAGAAATTGACACAAATGGTTCGCAACACAAATAATAATGTAATATGAATGTACATAAACTGATTTAGTATTTATTGCGCATGCTCTCCAGACAGGAATATGACGTAACCGTTTGAGTTACTTGTGGAATATATCTAGCCCCGTCCTTCTAGTCCCTTGTTATAAATGGCACTTAAAGGCATTCGTGAACCAATGGTAAAATGTTTATTTTGTCTTACAATCTTATGGAAGCCTATAACTACCATTTATAATTACTACTTTTCGCCCCTTCAAAACACGAAAGTCGAAAAGTGACCTTGAAAGTAGAGACTACATCAACTTCTGAGGCGAAAAGACAACAGTACGACAGCAAGCCAAAATCAAAGGTCGCTAATATCGCCATCAATACTAGACTTTATAAACTATTTTGTTAACGCGAATTTATTGTCAATGTCAACAAAACAGTACACCTTTAATAATGTATTATAACAATATTACTTATATTCTCTGTCACCACGGGGGGATCACGTGGCTAAGTGGGTAAGACGCTAGCTCGCTAGCCTGGAGGTCGGGTGTTCGATCCCTGCATTGGCCGAGAAAGTTCATCCAGATTTTCCGGCGTGGTTCTCCCTTGTCAGTGATGCAGGACGGAGGGGCTGACAAGGAAAGCTGTCTAGTCGTTCGGATGGGACGAAAAAAACCGAGGTCCCGTGTACACATTGGCGTGCACGTAAAAGATCCCTTGGCAGTTGGAATTCGATATAAGAGTAGGCCGTAGTGCCGCTGTCCGGGCAAAATTTCCCTCATAGCACACTGTATGGCGTATGCCCGTCTTCATTAGCCCAGGTTAGGAGCAGAACAGTAGGACGTTAAAACTCCATTTCATTTCATTTCTGTCACCACAGAGTTCTTGATGTGGAAATTTAAACGGAAATATTTATTTATGGCTAGGGATATATCATATCTTTCTTATCTAAATTAGATATAATATATATAACCAGGACATAATATATATAACCAGGATATAATTTAGATAAGAAAGATATGATATGATATCCCTAGCCATAAATAAATATTTCCGTGTAAATTTCCACATCAAGAACTCGTAGTATTATTCTTACAATTTCTCGTACAATAGGGGCCACAAGGCAAGAAGTTAGGCCCAATATACGCGAACATCAAACCGAGATCTTTGATACATAAACATATAATATTAAGTTTTTTTCAAAACCGGATACAAATCGTTAGAGGGACCACAGCCTTCGATCCGATTATCACAAAATTCAAACCCAGGGTGTAACGGTGTATATTTAAACGGTTTTTAAAATCGGGTATAAACTGTAATTTTTGGTACACCCGGGGTCCATAATCTAGGAGGTTACGGACCGATATGTGCGAATATGGAAAGAAACAAAAATCCGTGGAATATAGACATATATTTTAAGTTTGATCAAAATCGGATAAAAAAATTGTGACTTCTACAGTGTCCACAACCTTGGTATTATATACTTTTATACTATTTGCGAACGAGGAGCGGGCAGTTTCAATCCGATTTTCATGAAATTCGAACTCAACCATCATAAGGGTGGAATGGTGATATGTTAGAACAGCTTTTAATATTGGATAAAATGCCAATATCAAAAGGAACCGCATGTCCACAAATAAATTGTGGGCTGACAGGGGCGACTCAATACACGTCCACTTGAAAATATGGGCGTACAAAAATAGCTCAGCATGATAAAACTTGGTTTTTGGAAGACTAAACAACTGATATCAAAGACTTTATATGAAATGAGATTTTTATTTTAGAAATTAAAATGTTAAGTTATTTGATACTCCCACTGGCCGGTTAATAGTTGTCAACGCTTATGTAATTTATATTAGGGCAATGCTACTCAAGACGGACATGTTGTTTAGATCAGCATACCAAGCAATTAAAATCAGTGAACCGGACCAAACCCAAACATCCAAAATTTAGCACTTTTTCCTAGATAGTCCTAGCACTGTATAGGCTTTCCCATAATTTATCATAATATTCAGTCCTTTATACCAATACAGATAATTTAATTTGTCAAAACGTATGTGTATGTCATCTGAAGGCCGATGTCAGATGTTAATAATATAGTATGAAATAGCAAATGGCAAGAATTAGAGTTAACATCCAATTTTAATTGGATTATCCAAGGATCACAATGTCTTCTTTGTTTAATCTGGTTTGAGCACATTCCCACAAAAGTATTTATAGGGTAGTTACTTCCAATAAAAGTATGACAAATTTGGTATATAACAAATTTGGTATACATGTATATGGAAAGTAGAGACACCCTTCTGTTTTTGGTTTACATGTTTTCTTTTTACAGTTACTCTTTCTTATTTATTGTTAGTCATTCTTTATTTTTGTTACTCATAATGAAATCTTTTTGAATGATATATCTAATGTACATTTTTGATGATAAAATCATGGGACCTATATCAATTTAAAAAAAAAAAAAGTTGTTGTATATTTAACTATTGATTGTGAAATGATACTGATTTTATCAGTAATTTGAGACGGGCATAAAATATATGGTTACTTATTTTTAATCCAAGATATTTGTTTTGTATTACCCTTATTTTATTTTAAGAAAGGTGATACTTGTTCATTATTGATTTTAGAAATGTTTTCTTATTTATTTTATCAGTAATTTGAAAAATATGAGTCAAATAATTATCTTTTACTGTTTTATAAAGTTTTGAGAATATTTTAGTGTATATTCACATTGATCAATTAAACAACATATAAAATAGATGTTCTTTAATTTGTTTGGAAGTAAGTGTTTTTGAAATCTAAAATGAAATAGCTAATATGTATGGTCTAAATGACATATTACGAAGGTAATTTTGAAATAAACAGTGACAAATCTGGCCGAAAGGATGAATAGCTGATTCAATAATTCAATCACACACATCAATAATCACCTCTTTGGCAAGCTGACCTCCAGGGACTATATGAGCTGCTTTTTTTCTGAGAATGAACGGGATATGATTACATAAAAAAAACTAGCATGTACCCCTAGATTAACAATGATGCTACTACTGCAGAACTCAATTTGGACTTGAAGGGACTATCCCTTATTTGAACAGAGTCTCAAAAATAAAAGTCTGAGTTTGTATGAAATTTAAACGCCAAAATATAGAGGAATAGTTATTGACCGTATCTCAAAATTTCAGCTCAAAATATTGAGTCGTTTGGACGTGACCGTCAAAACTGCTTATCCGGGCACGTAACCCTTTTAAGATTTCGGGTCAATTTTTTCGTTGGGAGACCTGATAATCGATTCCCGTTCATTGAGAGGTCTATACAGTGATTGACCCAAATGCTGTATTTGATAATGAAAGATAAATTTCACCTACACATTATTTTTATACAAAAAAATATCTGGTTTTATCTAGACACCGGTCTCCATTTCCAGATGAAGACTGACAGGTTTCAGTTATTTGAAAACTTATCACAAATATTGAGTTAGTTGCTCGGCCCTTAGGTAGTGGATTTTAAGGCATTTTAAAACAAAATTAAACAGTTTTATTCTCCAAAAAATTATCGGGATTAGCCCTTTAAGATTATTTTAAATTAGATATGTGAAATATATGCAATTATGTATTAAATATAATGCGATACACAGTGGGCGTCCTTTGGGTAGGGAGGCCTTTGGACCATAGTGTAGGTCTCACTGCATGTTGTGTGCTAAGATTGGCTCTGTTAAAGTTGAATCCTGGGAAGGGAGGGGAGCTGTTGCCAACAAATTATGGTGCTCGTCAAAAACAAAGCAGGGGGTGTGGGCTATTATATGCCATGTTTAGAAAATCTAGTAATTATTTGGTTAGTTTGAAAGCCTTTTTTTATTATGAGGAACAGCACCAGTTACTATACCAACTAGAACTCTTCTGTCTGCTAATAAACACTTAAATTTAAAAACATTTAGATCAAAAACCCTCATTCACAGACTCAACTCCATAGAATTCTCTTCCTGAACTTTCTCCATTCTTATCTGTCTCCAATGCTACAACTCACTCATAATTGAGAGCAGTACAAAGGCGCGGGTGTCACGGTGGTTAAGTGGGAAAGACGCTAGCTCACTAGCCTGGAGGTCGGGTTTTTGATCCCTGCATTGGCCGAGAAAGTTCATCGAGATTTTCCGGCGTGGTTCCCCCTTTGCAGTGATGCAGGATGGAGGGCTCGGATGAGACGAAAAACAGAGGTCACGTGTACACATTGGCGTGCATGTAAAAGATCCCTTGACAGTTGGAATTCGATATAAGAGTAGGCCATAGTGTCATCGTCTGGGCAAAATTTCCCTCATAGCACACTGTATGGCGTATGCCCATCTTCATTAGCCCAGTTCGGAGCAGAACAGCAAGACGTTAAATTTCATTTCATTTCAGCACAAAGGTGTTTATTAATAATATACATTATTACATATTTGAAAGACAAATAACAAATATGGAATAAGTGAATAATGATAGTTTATTAACCTGAGATAGAAAACTAACAAACATACAATAAATGTAGACATATTAACAAAATATACAAACACAATAACATATATATCTAAATATAATATTCTATAAACTTTAAACAAATAACATGTCATTGCTGTAATATAAAATTAAAATCAGAAGTCTTTCAATTCATTTCCTATTCCATATTTTACCGGACTCAATTTTAGTTTATATTTGTCTCTCAGTGTGTCATGAAAACGCAGCTTTTTCAATCATGCCAAGACAGCAACCACTGATCTATTTATAAACTAAAGTCATGTGCATAACACAGTCATTGTCAACCATCTCAACAGCAGCTGTTCTGAATATATGTTGGATCTTACATGAATGTAACATGTAGTGGAGAAAATGTGAATCATAGAACCAAAACAAAATGATAATAGAATTGTAATTAGATTGCTTCTACAGTAAACAAAATAGGGTCCACACTGGGTTGTTGTAAAATTCCTTCGTCATTCACCAAGCTGTGGACATATGAAAGTTTAGGGTACATGGTATGGAAACTGAAGAACAAGAGAAAGAATTTTACATCAACTGGGTGATGGTAGTTATACGATTATGAAAGAGAACTCACAACTAAATGTCTCTAGTTTAAATAACTGCAAGGGTTCAGAAGAACCATCTGAATCTTATAAACAAAGTAACACATAAAATCCAATGAAACTTTATTTTTGACCCAAGTTCCAACTTGCTGTGGGTAAAGCCTACAGGGCTGACAAGGAAAGTGTGCCTTGACACTTTAATGAGACAAAAAATCAAGCTCGAGATTTTTTTGGGGTGGGGGATGGATGTTCTAGGGGTTTAACAAGATCCCCATTATTAGCCTTCAATATGGAGATCTAAAATTTCAGACCCTGCTCCCTACATCCCCGCAGAAAATCCTTGATCCACCCTTGGATAGGTAATCCTATTGATAACAGTTATGTTCTAAGACAAACTAATATTTGCTTTTTTTAATGAAACAATGTGTAAATACTTTGTCCTGCATTTAATAACAATACATGTAGTTCAAAAGCCCTTGCACAAACAGTCCAGATGTAGATTGTTGAACAAATTAGTGCATCGCAAGAGGGTGGGGGTTCATAAAGTTATTTTAGTGTGTAACTTACCACAATAAAAAAATTAAAAAATATTTTTAAAGTTAAAAATATTATCATAAAAAGTATAGGGCTATTTCATTAAAACAACATCTTCCAAATAAAAGAATAAATTGAACTCTCTCAATAGAACACTTGTAATTATGAACCAATATTTGTATGTTATAGTTGATCTGATGGTTGGCGTGCTAGCCATTGACAGCATTAATCCTCAGTGTTTAGTTGGATATATATGCACAGAACACTGTCAAATCAATGTATAAGTGTGTCCAACTAGTACTCCCGTTTTCCCCAGTTGCTTTTGAAACAATTGAGCTGATCTATTTAATACAGTTGCCACTATTGCTCTTTTTTTCAAAACAATATTTGTGACTAATAAGAAGGAAATTCCCACAGATTGCTCAAAAAGTTACTGTTTTGAGCACGAAATATATTTTCTAATTGATGGCTATGTACTTTGATCACCAGACTTAGAGGGAATATAAATTATAATTAATTAAAGATGCATTATGTAAGAGCTAAATCTGCCTGTTGCAGGACTTTTTTGGCTTCAAATCTTATATAAATTATTTAGACATTTATTCACCTTACAAGCCTATAATCAACTGTCTAGACCATATTATGGCCAAGATTTAAATGGATTTTGACACCTGCAATATTCAAATATTTAAATAAAGATAAAATGCACAACAAATTTTAATTGTACATGTATAGAGAGAAACGATATCTCTTTATCTAAATCTTACATAATGCATAACATAATGAGAATAACAATTAAACTAAAGTTGGTGGTTGTATTGTTGTATCGTGATCATCAAACCAGGCCAATATTTCATCACTAAATCCTTCTACTAATGATGGTCCACTGTTTATCGAAAAGCTACTTCCACTTGGTGATAATGCTCTCACAGACTCAGATGTTACTGTTGAAGGACTAAAATCAGAAGAAATAATATTAACTAATTTAGTTTGATACTTATATTCAAAGCAAAACATGAAATTGTGTAGAATCTGGGTACAATACATCATAGTCATTCGGTTTTTCTGAAACTTTGATTTTTGGAGATATAGTTTGTCAAATCAACTTCCCAAAACCATTTACATATATAGGCTTATCAGCTAAAAAAAAAAAACAATAAAAGATATTCTCATATTCCCCAGACGGACCTTATACTTGGCCTATATGCATCTAGTTTGGCCTGTCTGACATCTGTCACAAACATTTTGCAGAGGGTCAAGAGTGCTCAAAAGGAGTGTTCTTTTTCAGATCCCTGCAATTCTCCTCGGCCTTCAGCAAATAGATTAATTACTATATTGTTAAAGAGAGAGAGAAAAATGGGGTTTAACCTCCACTTGACACAAACTAGGTCATCTCGGGACTAACACATGGTTCAATTTTATTTCAACAATTCGCTTGCGTGTAGGGGTCTTTAGCAGTGGGAGAAAACCAGAGGACCCGGACAAAACCCACAAGGTTGGACTGGTGACCCTACTCCTTGTCACGTACAACCGGGGAATCAAAACCACACCAATTGACAATGACAGAGGTTATGATACAGCGCGCACGTGCTAACCATTCGTCCCCCACCCCCCATATTGTTAAAGTCATTTAGAGAAGTGATTAATTCAATCAATTATAAATATTTTTCATTCAAATTAATGTCTAAAATATCATCAGAGGGTTAATATCTGCATACAGGATACCAGTTGAACAATTACTGCCTAACACATCCATAGAAGTTTCGAAATTAATAAACCGATAAACAAACTACACTAAATTGTTTATTATCGTAGCAACCGTACTAGACAAACATGACTAAGTCACGATTATCTATTTTATCGTTAAAGTTTAAATTTCTCGTGGGCATTTTAATTCATTTAAATCGCTACCATTGATTTTCTAGAGAGTTGAGTATGGGCTTGCCATGTTAATAAATGTTTAAACAATAGTTTATATGGCAATTGAAGCCAAAATAAAGACCTACAATATGCAGATTTAGCTCTTAGATAATGCATCTTTAACAGATCATCTTAAGTATGTCAGAAACATTTAGTTCAAACTAAATAATATTTGTCTTGGCAGTAATTGTCATGGATCCTCTGCATTCATATAATATTGCTTATATATCATTCATTAATTAATAAATTAATTAATTAACAAATATCAGATATTATAAAAACTTTAAACTTACGTTAATAAAATGCAAAGGTGAAAAAAAAAGTTGTAGAAATAAATCCTTTAGAAGCAATTGGAACAGCTCACCTAACCGGCAACACCCGCACTAAGGAGAGGAGACACACATTAGGGTGGAGGTTTTTTGGAAAAGCGGTGGAAGTGAAAAGCACGGCTACAAACATGTAACACTGGTAAATTACCATAATAAAGTATTGGTATGTGGAACACATATTCTCCTGAAGTTCTCAGAAACCAATCATATGTTCCTCTCACAATTATTAATACTTACTTGTGATATTTCCATATTTAAATTTCCATAAGTTACATATAAAATAACAACCAGAGCTCTTCCGTTCGATTGAAAAAGATAATGGTCAATTTCATATGCATATTTTACGTTCAACTACGGAATATAAAATAATATCAAAATCAATTTGATGAGATAATACATATTGGTTTCTGAAAACAGGTATAGGAGGTCTGGGGTTTTTTTACAACTGAGGCTGTAGAATTTGCATGTCCTGATAAAAGTTTTCCATTTTTACGATTTATATTGAACATTTTCATATCAGATTGTAGGCTATGCTGAACTTTAAAATAACTTAGTTCATCTATCCTGAAAATATGGTTCATTCATGAACAGAAAACCCTAGACACAACATATTGTGGAAGTTCGTAAATTAGTTACGAAATGAAATAGTCTTAATTTGAAGCAAAGTTCAACACCTCTTTAGAAAAAATAATAGAAAAAAAAAAAGATAGGAAAAAATTTAAGAAATCTTCAAAAAAAATAAAAATCTGAAAATAATTTCATACTGACTTTTTATTCAATACACTGGACAATATGAATTATATTCATTATAAAAGAATTCTATCTATAATGAAAGGGTTGCAACCTCTCAAATCATCCCTGAATATTTTTATGACAAAATGGGGGTTATCTCCCTTGGATATAAAAGAGTTATCCTTCCCTTAAAAATTAATTATTACACATATTTTCAATCTACAATATTTACAGTTAAAACTATTCACAAATTAGAAGGATAAAATGCTGAATATGCATTTTAAAAAGATGATAAATGAATGAATATAACTAACAAGTGCAAACTAAGTCTCTATAAACAATCAAAGGTAAATAAAAATAAGATAAAATAAAAATGGGAAAAAAAAATGAAAGTAAAATAAATGAAAGCATGTAAGTTTCCAATAGGCAAACAAAGCAATCAAATGATCAATTGTATGCTAGATGAGTTGTACATAATAAAATATATTAATCTTTACTGCGTCAGAAGATAAAATGTTTGTTTTCCCCATAAAATTTACCATAACTCATGTATCAAGATAATGCTACAATGTAGAAATTATCAGTTGGCAAAATTTTGAAGTGAGAGCTCTTAACAGCAAAATATTCCTATTTTTTTTTTTACTACAACAACAAATAGTATACCATTGAACGTTAAAAAGGGTATTGGGTACATGCAAATTTCTATCTCAAAACCTAAATGTTATATTTCAATGTACTCTGCAATATATCTCTTATAATGCACATATATTTTTCAGCACTCATTATATAGAACAAAATCTTTTATTAATGAAATAATGAAAGATTAGAAACAAAAATACAGGTCATGCCAAATCAAATATAATGAGAATAGTCCTGAACGAAAATGACATCGATGTACAATAATATTTATTTTAATCACACCAAAACTCATGTTTCTTTTTAAAGATGATAAACTCAATATCAATCCAGCATTGTAGATAAATTTTGGTGCTAGCTATTCAGCACTGCAGATCAAGTTTAGCGTTAGCTGTCCAGCACTACAGATGTTTAGTGTTAGCTACACACAGGAATGCAAATCAAATTTAGCACTGCAGAACAAGAAACACAAATTTTAGGATCATAAAATTGTTGAAATGAAAACAAATAAACAAAATAAGCAAATGGACACAAAGAGGGGAAGTACAAACAACATTGATAAGCAAATAAATTAACTCCTGTGAAAGCAGATTTTGAAAATTGGCTGGCTGTTAAATCAAAGCTATCATTCAGTATGGTATATGCAATGCCTGGTTTGATTTCAATGTATGCTGATTTAACATGCAATGCACATTCATAATAAAACATGTCTCATGCATGATTGAAAGCTGTTAGTAATTCACACACACATTTATGAATATGAAAGCATATGGAATACTTGTAGGTAGACATACAAATACCAGTGAATAGAGACACTGGTCATCACGGATCTAAGAACACTGTATACTTTGTCTGGTTGCTTAGTAACACAAGAAACCATCTGAGACAGTAAAAACACAGGTATGTTACACACTGGCATAAAAATAATTTAGTGTCTGAAATGATTAATGTTTATCATGCGAAACTATAAATATACCAAATAGAATAACTTTTTAATCTGCTAGAGGTAAAAGTTCTGTCAATTTTACAATTGTTCATTCTAAAGCAAGGTCTGGAAATTCTGAAAGCTTTTCTAAAATAACGAAACTAGTAAAAACGACAAGCGGTCAGTTAAAACAATTCTCATTCTTAGAATACATTGGATTAAAATCAACATTCCAAACTTTTAATAAACTAGCGTGTACATTGCATGTTTTAATGCGTGTTCTGCACAACGCACGCATCCAGTTCCAAGCTTTACTTCCATACTGAATGATGCCATGATAACGGCGCTTGCTCTAGCCTCACCTTGAACTTGGTGAAGAGAAGGCAGATGGATTTTTAACGGGTTGACAGGCCATGGCCCTAGGAGGTTGATAGCTACTGTGTTTCGCTGCAGCAGCGCTTTGAATATGTTGTGATGATTTATACACTGTTGTTGAATAATGTGTCCCCGGTGTTTTAACAGAATGATACGTCGTAGAGGTTGTTATTTCGGGGCTCCCCCTACCACTGTAAGATGATTGCTCATAATCTCTACTCGTGAATGATTGATTCGGGGATAACGGGTGAGATGATGGAACTCCCCGATATGGACTACTGGGTTGACTAGAGTTCGGTGAGGGGTAATCCCCTTCTGATGATTGTGATGGTGTACTTGATCGAGATAATCTATCCACACCTATAAGCTGTTTCTGATAAATATCCACTTGTCGTTTACGACGTAATTTTTCACTATATTTATAAAAATCGGACAATTCGTATGGTTTTGTAACCTCAGTTTGAGGCTGATAACGTGTCACTGTCACAAGTTTACTGGACGACGGTTGCGTCTCCATTCTATTTACACTACTTGACGAACTAGTATTATGATCATATCCCGGTGAATATGGTCGACGATCGGTACGCGGAAACGAACCTTCATATGTCCTTGGACTATAACACTGCTCTGCTGAACGATCGTGTAAATTTCGATCATGTCGTGGGCTCATGCCAACAGTGGATTGTTCAGAGCCTGAATATGAATCACCATAAAGAAATTGTTTAGTTGTATAATAATGACTTTCTGCCGTTTCATGTTGAACAGGAACTTCCACCATTCGCATTGATTGAGGAGTTGGAGTTTCAGGATCACTATACTCTGATGCTGATTCACGTTTGCTTCCATATCGCGATGGTCTTAATTCTGGCAATGGTGCATCACATCTTTCACTTTGATCAGGTTTTTTATTTCGTTCTAAACTTCCATATTTCTGACCCTGACCCTGACCCTGTCCTTGACTTCCTTTTTTGCGATAAGCACCTTCTAAACTTCCATGTTTAGTTGTGAGATTTATTCTATCGTATTGGTCCGCTCGTTGTCCACTATGTGTCGGAGATTTTAACTTATCCATACTATTATAATGCGACGTCCGTTGAGAATTGATATTATACATGTTATTGGCTGAACTAAATCCACTGTCCAGACTTCCCTCCAATCGACCGCCTGTTTTCATATTGTCATATTCTGATTGGTTACTTGAAGAAGACTGACTGCGATTGGTTAATGTTGGATACATCTGATTACGATATTGAGTCCGCGTTACATTACTAGGTTGAAATCCTGCTGTTAACTGAGGACTGAAAATACAGAAAGGTTGCATTTAGACAGAAATATAATTACACTGAACTGTTTCCTCTTGGAGTAACTGCGAAGTCAGTTTATGATATTTCATCAAACTCTAACACAGCACAAAACAGACAGCTTTCAAATTTCAACACTACATAAACCAGATCACTAGAAAAGCCAGAAAAACAGGGGACTGCATCATCATACACAAGAGACTTCACTATTAACATTGATGACTTTCAGCAAATATACCTACCGGTAGTCTAATATATTAAACACTAATGGTATTATTGTACCTAGATATAGACTTGCTACCTGATCTCTGGTCTCATCTAGTTTCATATTAGTGTCAAGACTGTTTAAAAAGCTCCACGGATGTTCATAACATCATTAATCAGACATCAGTGACTGAGACAACCACAAGATGTAATAATTGCCCTAGCCACTGTGCATGTAATATAGAATATGCCAAATGCAGGCCCGGCAGAGGGGGGGGGGGGCCTCTTTTCTCCAGGTTATTGCGGCCCCTGGACCCACGCCTATAAGGACCTAGGATGGAAGCCCCCAATCAAGAATTGCTTCCGCCGGCCCTGAAATGGTTGGGGAGTGGTAGTTAGTCTATATCTGGGTATTACAATCCAATATTGGGAGCTCTGCTGTAACTCATCACATACTGAACTATGCAATAGTGAAATCTCAGTGTACTAATTCATTCCATCATGCTTGATTACCATTGGAGCTAAATATCTACATTTAGATTTCCATCTAAGCATCCTAGGAACAGCAGATGAAATTGGAGATAGATAGCATTTTTACCATTAAACACTGTTCACAGTCACAGTAGATACTGGCAACCAGTTGTTTAAAACTAGATATATAGAACAAACCTGCTATGACTTGGACTAAGTGCTGTAAGACTAAGATGGGAGGGTACAGAATGGTTCTCAAGATGTGAATGGGAATGAGGATGATTTGTCTGGAATGCTTGGGGTCGGGTAGCTTTCTGAGATACATCACCCTGAAGTAAAATAAACATTATTTATATGAATATTCAATTTTCTATATCTAGGAACAATCATATCTTTAAATCAAATCCGAAAACCCATCTACATGTCAAGATTCACACCACAGAAATTAACATAGCCTGATTAACTCATAAACTGTTATATAAATTAAACACTTTTCTGTATCAGCTGTCTAAAATATATTAAATCCATTTAGCTAAAACTGGGCAGACTGTACTTATCAAAGGAGGATTATGACTACCCTAGATATTGCTATTAACATGTTGTGTAGGTAGTGCTAGGTGCTTTCACAGTTAATGGTACATCCTGTCTACTGTTCGTTCATATTTAAAAGATAATGTATGAATTAGTGATTTTATTTTTACCTGTATGTTATCTCTGTGAGCTCTATAAACAGGTGGTGAGGTAGTCGGTGATATTGGTGATACAAACTCAGTATCTGAAATTACACAAATTATATTAAAACAATACAAACATTCAACTAAATCAAACAAATTGTACTTTACTATATAAAACAAAGGTTGGAAAAGATCTTGCATGAAATTAGACCTCCAGCAGACTCCTAGTAAAATATAAGATAATGCAAGTTGAAATATTTCAAAATTTCCAATCTTGTCATCTAGCAAAATCTAGCAAACAAATTATATCTTCAGAAAATTCACAAGGAATTGTCTTAAATATTGATATTACCTGTAGAATAAATTACTTTCCCCCAACCCCTCTTCAAAAATCTCTATCCATACAGTTTTTATTAGATCTTCAAATTGTAATAAAATAATTTGACCATTATTTATAATAATACCAATATTACACCCAATGACTTGCCATAAGACATGACTTAATTAACAGGACATTCTAGTCACGTATCTCGTTTCCAAATCAATATGACTACTGGACACTTATCCAGTATAACAATATCAGTGTACGAACTAAGTGATACAAATGTCCTAGAATTGCATAAATCTATCATATGCTGTATTTTGTAAAGCAATTACAAATATATAACAATATAGAAACATGCCTGAAACTATATTTTATGATTTATAACATAATTTATAAAGATTGAAAAGATAACAATGCATTAGGTGTAAGGAACTGCAAAATCTGAGAACATAAATACCACTGATTTTTTTTAACATGCATTGTTTGAAAGTAAGCATAGATCAAACGCTTCTTTTTACATGCAGGCAGGGGCAGGCTCTTCTAAAAGAGCATACTTTGTGGGTAGAAAAGAACTCAGCCGGAAACATTTCATTCTCAACTGGTATACCAAGATATTGAACTTCATTCACCTTGATTTCAGAATAAAACTGTTATAATTGGTCTTTTTATAAAACTGACAATAATACCAAATGATCTTATTATTAAAGAAGATAGGCTACAGTTTCTATATTCCAGTTAGTGGATAATAATAAACATTACCCAAACAATATATATCAATCTGAATTCATGCTTATTTTGAGCTTAAAATAACTCTTTTCATACAGAGAGTGGCATAACAAATAGGGACATGAGATTACATGTAATGACATCAAAGATCAAGTAGCTGACATAGTTTTCAACTATTGTACAAAATAGATATAGGTTTACTATCTTCTTTAATTCTTAAGCAATAATTTAGTTTTAAAAATAAGGTTAGGAGAACAGCTGATTAAAACAACAACCATGCTATTAGAAGTGTAAGTATCATTATACCAACCACTATCAGTTAATACATGTTGTTCTTCATTTTCATCTAAAACTAGGGGTAAAGACAATAAATACTGACGTTAATATGGGTAGAAACAGTGTCAGATTAAATACTGATGTTAATATGGGTAGGAACGGAGCCGGATTAAATACTGGAATTGACATGGATATAGACAGAGTTGGAGTAAATACTGGACAGTGAGAGAAATAGATATAATGGGAAACAGGATCAATACTGAAATTAATGTGGGTGCAGTTGACAGCAGTCAAGAGACAGAATACTGAAGTTAACATGGGTCCAGACACAGAATAAATACTGAAGTTGTGGCTATGATCGGAGAAGGAATAAAAACTCAAGTTATAGACCAGGGGTTATATGTTTCAGGTCTATTCAGTAAATATGGTCAATAAGCTTCCATTTCTTTTAATATTAACAGACTTCATTGTTCAACTTTATTTCAATAATTTGTTTTCAGCAATGGAAGGAAACCAGAGGACCCACAGAAAACCCAACCTGCTACACAAGCAGGGAATTGATATCAATGCAACTTATCAGACCTTATCCAAAACACATGCGTTAGACCATGCAACCCCACCCATACCAATATCAACATATTGTATTATAAATATAGTATATTCGACAAGGCTGCAATATTTCACATACAGTCCCTTTGTTTATCCATTCCCAAGCAATAAATATATTCACAAGAAATAATAAGATAAAGATGTATAGATAATAGTTAATTATTTATTCCCATCATAATAACATAACAATTTCAAATATTCTTATATAAAAATAATTATTATTACCATTGAGTTCATGATACATGGACGGATTACACAAGAACATATACGAGACCAGAAATTACATGACTCAGCGTGTACTCAATATCATTCGATGACATTTTACTTCATGCAGAATATCACACATATATATACATATATGTATATATGTATATGTATATATATGTATATATATAGGGTTTCCTTCACAACAAGGGTATGATAAAAAGTGTTCAGGGAAAGGGTGGCAACTCAGGAATAAAATACTGAATATCTTAGGGTTTCTCTCATGACCAACAAGCATTCACACTGAAGGACTTGTAGCATCTATCCTGTTCACTAGGATTTTGGCAAATGGGAGGTAAATCCAGAACTTAAAGTAGCAGATCACTGAATACTGATAGCGTTCTTTCTCTCATAACCCCCATGATTCACACCAATTTAGAAAGAAATCTGCTAACAAGCAGTTACCATGCATGTTTCGACTATGGAATTAGAATAGGACTCATCCTCTCATTGTTACAATGCTTCATATCGAGTTAAAACTGTAGCCTCTATCATATTCACAAGGTTTTTTGGAAAAGGGGGGGGGGGCTCCAGAACGAAGGATCACAGAGCACTGAATATCAATAGGTTATCCTATTATGACCCCAATCAATGGTTCACACCAAATTTGAAAGAAATCTGTAGCCTCGGACAAGTGTGACAACATATTCTGGAAAGAGCACTATATAAATGCAGAATTTATTAAACATACTATGAATACATAACCACCAATAAACCAAAAACTATTAATATCAATCAATGTCATGAGAATAAATACATATGAGGAACACATATTCGCACAATATTATTACCAAGAAGATTTAATTCAAACTTTTACATACATCAGACAGCATAACTTCAAATTACCACTTTCACATTTTATGACATGAATACATACTTTGATTATTATTATTAAACTTTTCATGGCTTACCACTTTTTTGGGGGAAATCTAGCATAAATTCAATCACAATTCAAACTAATAACATGTCCAACATTGTCAAATTTCTGTATTCCCTTAATAACATCCACCAAAGTAATCATCTTGACAGTTTTATTTAATGACACACAGAAGAATCACAATACACCCACATTTACACCTGACTTTCCTTTGGGGATTGAAACACAGCATTATGATCAACAAATGACGAAGGATGCCAAGAAGCTCGAGAATTAATAAAATCATCATCATCTTCCACAAATACACTATCTCTTACTGTCCTACCATACATTGATGCAGCAACTCTTGGTCTACTTGAGGAATCACGGAATGACTGTGCGGTGGCTCTACGTCTACGATCGCGTCGGATAGCTAGACTACCTGTATCACTAGTACTTATAGTGTTAATAAAGATGGACTCATCACTGATTGGACGATATAAATCCGCTGTGTACCTACCATCATAAGGAGTTGTATATCCACGATTTATCCCTAGATGTTTCTTCATATCAGTCAGTTTCTTCTCCATATCTTTCATCTAGAAAACAAAAACAGTTTTATTGTTACTTTAATTGTATATTTTCTTAGTATTCCATTTTAATGTTCTTAAGACCATACCATAATCCAACAAAAACTAAGCTTTATTCTTTTTAGAGCAATAACTATTCTTTGGAGATGTCCTATTCATATTAGCAGTTCACTGAATGGCAGCTGTTCTGATAGTAGTCTTGGTCACCCAGAACCTCTTAGTCTTTAACATACGGAGGGTCTGGGACTGTTGACCATATTTAACGTAAAGTCCATTGCCCATGTGTAACCGGGAGTTTGGTGGTTGATTATCCAGTATCTTTGGCCAAGTCAAGTAAGAGTTGTGTCCCTCCCGCAATAAATCCCATAATTATTGCATTAATATAAACAAACATGAATCGTGACGACGAATCAGAATTAATTTAAAAAACATAGATATGGCCCATGAAAAGAGAAATTTTACAATAAAAAAATTAAGAGTGTTGGATATTGAACTGACAATGCAATCAAATGGATTATTTGAAATGGCATTCTTAAATTAATTTCATGGGCACATCATCATGTTTTAGGACAAGTTACCCCCCTTATGATAATGTAAATGACCAGATAATCTAGCCAAGGACCTATTATTCTCAAATATTTTTCTGGAAGATAGAGACTATTCTGAAAGAACATAAAACTGGTGCCGGATGAGGTATACTGAAAGTGAAGGTAAGGAGTTATTGACATACCTTATTAACAGCTCTAAGATAAGCCTGGCGTCTTTGTTTCCGTACAGATTTACTCACAGATTTATCTTGCGCTAATTTCTGTGCTGCTGCCATTATTTTACCCTGTAGCTCACATTCTAATTCTAACTTGGCCACCACATCTTCTCTCTGAAATGCATAAATTTATCATTTAATATAAAATTGTTTAGTCAACCACAAAAAAAATTTTATCCACTAATTCAGATTAATCTGTGACAGAGTCAATTTTATGATCCCACAATTATTCTCATGATGGAATGTCATCGTATATTCACATCTACTTAAATATGTGAAAGTTTAAACATGCAAATACACGCATTCAAGTTTTGAAACAATCTTTACCTCATCCCCACTTTTCACCATGTTGGATGTCAAGGAGAAAGCAGTTCCAACTCTCCGTCTGAATACTGGAGCCTTTTCACCAGGTCCAAGTGGTGTATCAGCAGGAAGTTCACCTGTCAGTTCCTGCAAGAAAAATACACGTTTTATTATTAATCATTATTTTACTAAATAGTACAAAGTGGACCTACCAACCAAATTCAGGATGCCATGCCATTAATGAAATGTATGCATTACGATCAATGTAATAAATTTACACTGGCTGTTATCCTTCAATGAGGAATTCTGAAATAGTCTATTAAATCTGAACAAAGGCAAGCAGTTTAATTCATTTCATTTTCTTTAATAAAACAGTTAGAGCAATAAAATAAAGACTAGAAAGACCAGAAATATATCTGTAGTTTGTGTCCAATAAATGTATAGAAGTTTAGTACATACCCCTTCTTGAAAACATAAATTCTTTAATTCTTCTGTTTTCTTCTTTAAGGCATCTTCTAAGGCCTCTTTCCTGGCCTTTAAGGCCTGATACATTTCGCGTTGGGCCTTCAGCGTGTCAGATTGTTCAATATTCACTGGAAAAAAACAAAACAAAATCCATATTGTACAAATTTGAAAAAAATTACCTACATATGTACGCATGTATGTTAACTTCAGATAATCTCATTTAATCCCTGGTGTCCAAATTAAAATTACATACTGGTTTATAATCAAAACATTCTGCTCTAGGATGTTTTACTGGAAATGGTTGGACCCAGTCAGTAAATATCAATAGTTTTACATCATGTATCCAGTATCCCTCCTACTCGTCTCTTAAATAACTCAAACTATGCCAATTTCTGCTGTAACTGGCAACCATATTGCTCCAGGTCAACAAACAAATGAATGATAACCGATCATCTCATCACTTGAGTATGAAATATCAGCAGTAAATTTATTTCAACTATGCAACAGTAACAAGAACTATGAATTCCTCCAGCTGATGGGACCAATCAATAATCAGAATACTGATAACCTCAATGAGATGTCACACAGCGAGAAAAACACCCTCATTAAAATCAGTCATCAAAAATCTGCAGTGGACGAACTTAAAATCAATTTTTCAGAGTGGGTTTAAAAGCTCAACTAAAATAGAGGCAGACATGGTTTGTTCGTGGAGATTCTACCAACTGAGATGACAAACCAGATGTCTTAAGAAAAAAAAGCTTGATGCTAAATATTGAATATCTAATCTTTTTAGCATTTCCATTCAAAATCAATTCTATATCTAATTTTGAAGGCATAAAAATTACACACAAAAATCAATAATTAATTGTGTCTGGATGAAAATATTTGTACTAATACTAATACCCTAGAAAAAATGCAAATGGTTCTGGGTCATAATTTTGTTCCAGTACATTAGACAAGTTTTAGTAATTTCTTTTTATTGATTTTCTCATACGAGAGAGGAACTAAAAACATTCTTAAATTAATTTGATTTTTTTAACCAAAATTATGAAAAAAATGATATTTACGGACAGAACAGTGGCTGATATTATAGCTGGTACTCTTAACATCAGAAAACAAATAAACAACTAGATTATATCCATAAGACAATTAAATTACAAAAGCCTGTGTAGTCAAATCATAGCAAATCAAAAATTATTTGTTCAATGGCTGGTGTAACACTATTGAAATTATTTATAGAAATTTATAGAAATTAATTTTGTAGAAGTACCTATTTTACCTAATAAGTCAAAATTCATTAGTACTGATTTCTGGGCTAAGATCTTTACACACTGGTCCATGTTGAAATTATATGGTTCGAACAGCAACACTTAAATATTAGCACTTAGATGATCACTTTAACAATGACAGAATGGGAATGACTTTAAAATGTTTGTTGGATGTTTTATACTACAGTAATTAAAACAACAAGTCAATGAAGTCAATTAAAACAACAATTTGAAGATATGAAAAACTTATTGAAACCATCAAACTAAAGGTAAACATGACTCAGCTTTAATAACTGACAACCTGAGTAAATTAGGAAGCCCTCAGCATCTAATCAACTATAATTCAGTGCTTTGTTTCAGTCCAACTAGATTTTTAGTTCAGCTTGGGATTAGGGATTAATCACTTGATTAATGGGCCACACTTGACCTTTAACACTTTGCTTGATTGGTTGATTGTCTTGATCTCTGTTTTTAGATGGATCTGATTGACAGCTTGTGAACTGATTTTCTACTTTCATTCTATTGAGTTAAATAATTCATTTTAAATGTCTTCTTACAATATAATTTAGCAAATAACTTTCCATCAAATTTCCAAATCTATTATAAATTAATTTACCCTTGAATAAAGTAAATCTATTTTGTTTTATTTGATTAAAAAAAAAAAAATGTTGATTTTAGATCACCATAATTTATTTGGACGGAGTAATTTTATAATGTCAGTACCAATTTTTTTTAATTTTTTTTATCAGACTACCTTTTTCGTCTATTGTGTATGGTTTAGGACTTGTAAATACATTTTGTCTACCTCAAGATTAGCAAAATAGTTTTTCCACAGAATTTGTATCTTTATCCCAATTCTTTAAAATATTTAAGTGTTTTTACTTTATTTAAAGGGACAATAACACTCTTGCTGGCTTGACAGCTCCAGAAAATAAAAAAATAGCCTTATTCTAAGTACTAGATGTGTCAGTGTCCTACCTGTTGTGTTAATTATCCATTAAATCCTATTTTACTTGTCCAGAGGGTTCAAAAATATTTTTAAATCCAAGTGACATTTGAAAAGCTTTACGTCAGGCTTTTCAAATCATTTAGTTGAATTTTCCAATTTTTTAAATTAGGTGTGTTAAGATGAAATTTGTATCATCAATTAATTGGAATATTGTAAAATAGTACAATTTGTTGACCAGAATAAAGATTGGGACATATTATTCAGTTACAACAAGAGTGGTATTGAGCCTTTAAAGGAGCTAAGCTCGAGTCCTTCACTTTATAAAATTGTGCAGGAGCCATAAAAAGTTCCTGCCAATTTCAAAAATGAGAAAAAAAGCTCCCATAAAAAACTCTTCTTAATCATATTGTAAGAGTAATTCTACATTCTCTTAAATTAAGGAGAGCCAAATTGTATTTATGATTTAGTCTTGTTTAATATTTGGTGAATATGTTTGGTGAATAGGTTAGCTTCAGAATTATCAACATCAAAACTGATACCTCGAAGGCATGCAGTTTAAAAATAAACAAAAACTGAAAGTAGTTTATTAATCTCAATATTTAGGAGAGTGATTTAGCTAATTTGCATGAGTCTTTAATGATTATTGTGAAGGAAAGTTGAGGTGTACCAAGAGGAGCAAGAGCGAAAACGCACCATAAACGTGAAGGACTGTATTTTCAATAATAATATTTGAAATTAAAGACATAAATTAGAATTCAATATTGGTCCATTTCAATCCATACTGATACTGTTATGTTGCCGTGAAAATGTGGGATCCTAAATCCAATATTTAAACATTTGAAGATCAGTACCTCTACCTGATTTCTTTATATCCATAAAATGTCTATAACAGCATTTTCATTACAAGCCAACAATCAAAATATTATAGACTAACTTACAATCAAATCTGGACGATGAGAGACTGGGCAGACTTTGTGAACTTGTACTTCGACTTAAATCTGATCCAATAGACCCTGGTAATGATGTTGTACTTCTACTTAAATCAGCAGCTATTTCGCTCATAGAACGTGCACTGGGAAGAAGTGACTGTTGAAGAAAATTAATAACAAATATTTAGAACAAAGTAAAAAAAGTTGGGTGCCCAGGTTTTGATGTGGAAAAGTTTTTAAATGTGTATACAGTGTAGATGAAGATTGAAAATATAAGAGATAAAATTGGCTATTAAGATATGGTTATTAAAAATATTAGTGACTATTATATAAAACATAAGCTTATATTGAATTCATTAAACAATATATTATCAATCCATTCCAAAATAACACACAACACATATAACATTTTTTGTCACATGTTTAGATGTTTGCATGTATGCAGCCCAGTCCACCTATCTGAACTTACATACATCTGCATACAATCATGAAACCTTCGCTTCAAAGATCAGTGCTGGTTGGGTGTGGCAAAATTAAATTACATTCTGTCCTGTTCTGAGTGTTATAAATGTTTCAGATATAATGCACCAATTCTATAAAATGATTAACCACATGGTGCTAAAACTTCTAGTTCACTCGAATCATTTAAAGGAAATTGAAAACTCATTTATCTAATTCTGCAAAATAAGTGATCAAATTACTACTGTAGATAGTTAAAAGTGTACCGAGTTGGTATCTTAAGCATGCATGCATTTGTGGATGGAACTGGCCCGTGGTGAATATTCAATGTTATTTGTTCTTATCCAAATTGTGTCAACATCGGGGCTGCATTTAGTGTACAGCAAGTACAGGCTGTTCAGGAAAATGATCACATGAACCCTGACCTTTAGAGTGGGGTGGATTGTAGTGGGTGGAACTCTGTAAAATATCATTGCATGATAAGACTTACTGAAAAATTACTACAAGATAGGAAAAGAAAACAAATCTGAAAACTGTCCTGCAGAGCACTTACAAGAATTGTGGACAGATGGATACGGGTGATGACAATATATTCTGACATGAAATGTGGGTTTATAAAAATTATCTACTTATATCAAACATGAAACATTCACAGGTTTCAGAACACTGTTCTCTCCCGCCCCCCCCCCCCCCAAACACACACACACACTTTTGGGCATAGAGTTACTGTATTACAAACACTATACAATGTCCAGTTGACTTACCTTGCTTTGTTTGCGATCTAGATAAAACTGATGTTGGGATACTGCCATAGACCAGATACATTTTGTTAGTTGAGGTGTAACAGCAAACCAAGCATGAACATTTACATTACCAGCACCAAATGTTCTACGACTTACTGAAACTCTGAGAATGAAAAATAAAGGAAGAAAATAAAATAAAAGTAACCTTTGCTGTGTTAAATTCCTGTTTTATTCTGCCATTAATGTCTCCACCAAGCCAAGGCTTAGTTCTTAAAAAATGTCAATGAATTAAATATAATTATATTTGTAAATAAAAGACATATTTAAGTCGAAGGGAGTTAAGCATTAAGGGAGATTTAAGATTCAAATAGGATTTTGAGTTGGGCCCCAATCATTTTCTCCCAGATATGACAATACGGTATTACTAGATCGCCTTTCCTTCTTATATTGACACAGTTATTACCCTCCATTTATTCAAGCTTGATAACATTTGAGAGAATACTCTGAAATGTCTCCCAAATAAATAAGCAGCTGTTTTTCCATAAGTATGTTTATAGTTTATTGCTCTATCCAGTTACTAAATGCCCCCCCCCCCCAAGATCACTTATTCAGTGTTTTGGCTTTGGAATTAAAGAAGCTAGCTCCAAATAAATTATAGGGTTGATTTTGTGTATTATTTTGATTCTACAATTAAATTTTTGTTTTGAAATACCAAAGTGGTTATAAGTCTATGTAAACAAGAACAATCTTGTCACCATTTTTCAGCTTATAATCATTCTAATTGTTGAATATGCATATTCATTTATAAAGTCTAACAGTTTAAGATCTTGTAATATTCTTGAATAATACCCATTGTTTATAATCTCTCTATAACGTAGGTCACTTACCATAATTTACAAACATCATTTTGATAGCCAACCAATTTAAGAATTAGTGTTTTGTATTTAAGAAATGTGGAACTTGGAAAGATTTAATAAGTTTGTACATAACATTAATATATCGCTGGAGTTCTACCCCATTGTAACTATGGAGCAGAATTATTTAAAAAGCTAACTTCAACTTAAACACTTCATTTTTGTTGTTGTTGTGAGTTGTTTTATAGAGTATGCCCTGTATGTATCAATGAATGAAATGAAGGAATAAATGAGTTAACTTATGAATTAGATACACTTGCAAAAGCACAGTCAGAGCAAAAACAACATTATTTAAGCCCATAAAAGGTATTATTTCAACAATGAATGTGACACAAAATCATCATAATGCACAAATTTTCGAGAGTAAAATTAGTTTACAATACAACATCTATAGGATCTCCAACGCATTAAATGATTTACACACACACACACAATATTGAAGTAAAATATATTTTTGTTCAATCCAGAAAGTAAAGAATAAATTGCAAATAATTGAAGAAAGTTGTGTAATTAATCGCTAACTAACATGCAAGGTACTCTTTCATAAACATTGTTTGGTATTCACTGTGGGCTTTCTAATACAACAACAACTCCCTACAGAATCATTGTGTTGGTTCTAATAAATAATCCAATACAGTGTAATGTAATGGTTGTGTCTAAATTATCAGACATGTTGTATGTTAGGATGTCTTTATTAATGAAACTCTAGATACATGTATAGGCACAACCATAGATGAAATAATACACTAGAACTTCACTTGGGGTCCAACAGAATATATTCCTGATTATTAACTATTGCTCTTTAATCCTGAAAAGTCTCCCATTTCACAATGCACAGTAAGACATACTTTGACATAAATCAAACAGAATTACAAGACAACTCTACTGAGTTACGTCCTTTTAACTTTATGCAAGCTTCATGAAACTGATCCCAGAGCTATAGTCAAGGGACTTCTAGTGGAATACTAGTCTATTATTTCTTATGACCTGTGGAAGATGACTTTGTATAACTAGATGTCCCCCTTCCTATGTGAAAGTAGCTGAAATAAAGAAGTTACATAAGCTTTTCAACAAGTAAAGCCCTATGGAAGCTTAGGTGAGGTGAAGATTGTCTGTGATTTGAAGCGGAAGCCACATATAGACATGTACTTACTGAGTAGTAGGATCGGATATTGCATCAGATAATGAGTCAAAATTCTGTACAGGCTCCCTTATAGCATCCTCATATAAGTTGAAACTGCTCAGGGTGTGAATGACACTAAATATTCAGGTAAAAATAATAAAATTTGAATTTTAGGCAACCATCTTTCAAGAAAAATATCAAAATTAAATAAAGGAAAAGAACTTTGCACCAGCCCCATATTGGTTCACCATCCCATTATCGCCACGCGAGTCAGTCACTACAGCTAGGTATTTGCTCTGGGGAATACACCTTGTTGAAATGAATTAAAGGTGTTTATTATTATTGGATATCTAATCCTAGCACTTATAGCAGAAGAATTGGACGTTAAACCCCATTTCATTTCATTTCCTAGCACTTATGACTTTTACATTTTAGTCAAAATTATCTTCTGAAACCGTTTCATAAAGCCATCAGAACTTCAGTTTTCCTAACTAATCCAAATTGTGATGATTCAGTGAACAAATTGTCAATCAGTGTTGTCGATCGGTATTTGGTATAGTCTGGCAGTATAGTTTGAGTTGCTATATTTGCATTTTATTTGGACATAAATTCTTGAGAGAAGGTGCCTTTACATTTCTAAAATTCTTCTGTAAAATGTTTCAACCTAAATAAATCTGTAAATGCAGCATCTTTAATATGGTTTTGTCAATAGAGAGGTAAATTTAATGCACATGTTTATTAGTAAATTTGTACTGTACACGTGCTTATTAAATATTTTCACCTAGTATATGATAGGCATACCAATTAGACTGATTTCACGGGTTTTAACTTCATGTGAGTAGGAGAAGTACTTTTTTTTTGATGTAATCATTACAGCATGAAGATTTCATATCAACATGCCAAAATCTAATTTCTATCAAAAAAACATCATGAAAAACATCAACAAGTCTTATCACGAAATGTGAAATCAATTTTCATCAAACATACAACTCGTACTGAATAAGCTCCAAGATTTATGAGAGAACAAAATATGCTACTCAGCAATCCCAATAATTAGTTAATGACAACAAACCACAAAATCAACACAATACACATGCAGAATTTAGGATAAAGAATGAATTAACTAGCAAACAGATTAATTTACTTCAATAATAAAATTACTCAGTAGACATTGCAACAAATGTTTTTCTTTACAAAATACTACTGGATACAGAATTATAATCTTATCAATTTTGATACAAAAAATTTGAAAAATAGCGGATACATTCTAAATTTTATTCTAGAATATAAAACAATATTATTCTAGAATATAAAACAATACATATTCAAGCTTGATGATTTACTTTGAAGAATATGAATTGCAAAAAAACTATTAATATATAAGCAAGAACGTATTGGAACCAGAAAGATAAATTTATTCCTTAGGGTGTTTGATAGATTTATTTTAAACGATTAAATATTAGATAAATATTAGATGAATAACAGAAGCAAAAGGCACCGTCTTCCAAACGAGCAGACAAGTAACTGATGATGACATGAATGAATTATGAAGAATTATGATTTCACAATATGATTTCTAAGCTAAATTACCAAATACATATAGCTTTCATTTCATCTGTTCATATATCAGAGGCAATATTTCTATCTTACATTTAAAGTCTGTATGGTCATTAAATTCGAAACGTTTAGTTTTACTGATGACAATATCAAGAAATCATGCTAAATAAAAGTATAACATCTATAATCTAAATCACAAAATATCAAAAACTTACCGTTTAGGGTCGTGAACTTCTATAGAAAATTTTTTATCACGATAATATAAATTCTCTAATGATTTCCATAAAAAAATCTGCAATAGATTAAACATTAATCACAAATTTCGAAAATATTTTATATGAAATCAAGTATTGTCAAAGTTACATGTACTGTACAATAGATTGAAGTAAATACAAATCAAATGGTTGACTTCAGCAAATTCGAGAAACAGCATGAGGCTGTTTCACAACATAGTAATTGTTTTGCTCAATCTGTTAATCTTAATCCAGACGTTAACGCATTTTTGTCTTTGCATTCATGACTTGTATAAGACAAATCAGTCTTGTCTTAAGTTCATGATTTATAACTATCCACATGATATGGTTTGTGGTGTATGGTAAATACTATTATATTACTGGCATAATCACCATACCTGTAGGATCAGCTATAAACCACACAGAGGGCATTGTTTTCTAGTATATGAACTATGATATAATAAATAAGCTAACTTACTCTACGAGGTGTTGATTTATCATTTTTATCAAACAGATAAATTCCTTTAGGGCTTATACCTAACCACCAAGGTAATCCTTTCTTATCCTGAAATATATAATAGTAAAATATTTACACATCATTTATAGTAGATTATAATCACCAATAATTTACACATTTCACATTTCTGTGTTGCTGAAAACACCGGTATATTAACAATGCAATGTTTTTGTTTAAAAATCATTTTCTATTCAGAGGATCTAGAAAATACATGTCGAAGTCTAGTCAACCGCTTGTTTTTTTAATTAAATCTTAAATAATGAATCTGAGTACATTTTATTGTGGATAAAGCTGCGAACAATTTAATATTTTCTGAAAGATGCACACAGGCTTTAAGAAGCAGTTTCTCAAGTTATTACCAAATTTGATGGAATTAGTACACTGAACCAAGCAGATCACAGTCCAGGTATGGTAGAGGTCACAGAAACTATCTATGAATTCTGAGTGAATCTGTACGTACCTTTACTTCATAACAATGTATTCCATATGTTGGTATATTCTCTACTATTGTCATATAACTGAAGTATAAACAACACATAAATAATATCAACTTTCAAGATACAACAGATTTTTAGCCATATTCAATCTAACATCCAATTTAATATTAAACAATGAAATGATAATATACAGACCCAATCCCTAATTATTTTTTTTTACCAACGGCAACTATAAAATTTCATCCATTCCAATAACTTGTCAATCTAGATCCCTATACATGTATCATTCTGTGCAATATAATGTTTTGATCTTTACAAGAAGATACATACATTATAACTCTATGGGCCCTTCTACAAATCCTACATTAAATGTGGTCCCAATGCACAGATTAAGAAAGCCCACCCAACCTGACTGATACATTCAAGATGACCAGAATGTATAGTATATATTTAGATTAAATGTATTTATGTTAAAGAAGAGAAGGTGGACTTTTACTAGAGAAGATTTTTATCAGATTTATGTAAACATGAAACCACCCATATAATCATTACACTTTATTTCAACATGTTCTAGTTGTTAGACAATCAGTATTTATCTTGGGTGAATGGGGTATTAAACAAGGTGCTTCACTTGGCTAATTTATATCTATATAATTCACATTAGATATGCCATTCAGATAGCTATAACATTATTTAAAAGTGCTGGTGTTTTTAAGCCAGTAGTACTGTGTTCATAAAGACTGGGAAATCAGTAATGGTCAGAGGTTATGGTTTATCATATTCTACTTGAAAATGATTATTTTCTCAAAAGCTGATGAAATGTGCATGCCAAAGCCAAGCCAACCCCGAGATATGAAGCAGACCTGTTCAGAAAACAAAGATGAGCCAACTTTGGGTATAAACCCTTCAGAGCTAGGATTTTGAAAATGTGTATTTGCTTAATGATCATTGAGGTTTTAAAATATTGAAGTGTATTAGCCCTGTATAATAACTGGTGTTCACACTACCAAATATAATTAAATCTAGTATGTACTTCAAGGCTTACAGATTTGATTTTATTCCAAAATCCATTACAGTTCTTGTGGAACGAAAAAAGAGTTCATTTTTAATAATCTTAATAGGGTATTAGTGGAAAATGAAATAAGAAAAGAAATTCATCATATCTTTATTTTGTTTGGTCTTTATGGTTCTGGCAGAAAGTGAATTTCAACATGATTTATATGTCATAAAAATATATTATTATCTGTAATATTAGTTTGTTTTTAGATTCCTTTGTCAATAAAGATTTTAAAATGATTGAAAAGAGGATGGTTGCTAGGAAATTAACAGATAATCAAGTCAAATTTTCTCCACACAGTAGAATGAACAGATGCTGCTTGTTTGTATGACTTAAGAATTGTTATTCATTGCATGCCATAAATAAATATTTTATCAAATTATTTGGTTTGTCAAATTTCCTGAGACTATCAATCATTTTTTGTAACTGTGATTGAATAGGGAAACAGTGGTGGTTTGTAAGATGTTGGCTCGCTAACCAGGAGGTCTCAGGGTTTCCAACTCAGTTTCACTATGTCAGTGGTGTAGGACGGAGGGGCTGACAAAAGTGTCTAGTCATTTGGAAGGGATAAAAAAAAACCTGAGGTCCTGTGTGCCTATTGGCTTGCATGTAAAAGACCCCTTGACAGTTGGCATTTGAAATAAAGAGTAGGCTGTAGTGTTGCTGTCCCTCATAGCACATTGTATGGCATACATATTCATCTTCATTAACCCAGTAACTGCAGAAGAGTAGGATGTTAAACTCCATTTCATTTCATGTAATCGAAGAGAGAGAGAGAGAGAGAAAGAGAGAGAGAGAGAGGACTCAATTCATTAAAGAAAAAAAAAGAAAGATAGAAGAAATTAATACAAACTAGGTCATTTAATTCAATAAAAAAAACCCCACCAAACAATTGTCATGATACATGATAGTTACAAGCAAAATCTAAATTGCTTATTATAATCTGTTTGATGGAAACAGTAAGCTTTCTGTCAATGTGCTTTCAATATTTAATTAACAACATTTCATAGCCACTCCAGATGAAAATAAGAAGAGAAAACCTTTAAAAGACATTCACGTTTCTCGCTTGATAATGACAGGCGACTCAATTGAACTCATCAATCTGTCTGCTTAACTACATGCAAGGTTTCTGAAGAGGTTTTTTACAACCTTTCAATAAGATGGTTCTGACAGAGTCAACATATGCTTTTAATAAAAACAGCAAATATTCTACCATACATTCACGTTTATTCAAGAATTTGTAACTATCGATTCTGCTACTTCTTATTTATAATCTAATTACACATCGGATTAATAAATCCAGTTTAATTTACATTGGTGAAACAAATATAGCAGTAATGTTATACACCGTACTGGTAAAAACTCACTGTATGCTCGACTAGAAATAGAATACTCTGTTGGCCAACTTGCTAGGGGTTGAACCTGCAGTGCTAAAGATTGATTTTGCCTAAATGGCTACGTAAGATAGAACAAAAAAATTGAGCTCCACCTGTGTACATATAACTTTGTGTGCGTTATAGAACCCTTCACAATTGGAATTTTAAAAAATGTGGATGAAATCATTGCTGTCCTCCATAGAATTGCGATTTGGAAATGAAAGTTCTATTTTCACAAAACAAATTTAGTTGATATAAAGAAGTTGATATATTTTCCTGAATCAACAAGGTACAGTAATTAGTTTTCTGACAAACATTCATTTCAGCAATAAAAATATTGTTTCTGTTTGCCATCACGATAATTAACAGTGAAAAAACTACAGGTTTAACGTTTAATAAATATAAAACCTATTTAACTTAGAAAACATATTACTGTTTATTCTTTAATACATTTAACGGAGAGCGGAAGTATAAAAAGAGGCATGAATCAAAAAATATAGGTAACTTAAACATTCTAATGTTTATACTTTCAATCATGAAAAAGATTACCCCATTTATCTCTATCAACATAATTTTTTATTTCATTTAATGAAAAACGGAAGTATAAAAACACCTGAGAAGAAAGTGCATTGCAAGCATTTCACAAGCATATCTCCGCATTAATATGTTTAAGTACCAGTTAATTAATAGAAAGACAGTGTGACTTGGACAGTTCTAAATTTAAAGAATATAATTTATAAAGCTTGGTGTTGAAATGTTAAGAAGAAATGTGGTTATTCAGTTAATTAATAGAAAGACAGTGGGACTTGGACAGTTCTAAATTGAAAGAATATAATTTGTATAGCTTGGTGTTGAAATGTTAAGAAGAAATGTGGTTATTCAGAATATAAATCTAAACCAAAGTATTATGTCATTGTGTTATGAAATAAAGAGACATTGAAATGGGCTCAGCCCTTCCGTCAAGAATTTCTATCCGAAGCATATTTCGCAAACTGTTCAAAATATGAACCTATTATAGTAATTTTATCTTTTGTTGCACATAATTATAAATTTCTCAGAATTAATCATATTTGCATTTCCATGTCCATGATTTGACTTGGTTTTTGGTTTACAAGGATGTAGGGTACTGATGACTGAGTCTGTAAGATTTCTTTCGAACAGTGATTTGATTTTCCAAGCGCTAAGGAATTTCAGACCTCAAATTTGCACATTGCAAAGCTTTTCACAGGGATTACAAGCAAAAATAACACATTGGTCAGTTTATAAATGTAGGGTACTGATGACTGAGTCTGTAAGATTTCTTTCGAACAGTGATTTGATTTTCCAAGCGCTAAGGAATTTCAGACCTCAAATTTGCACATTGCAAAGCTTTTCACAGGGATTACAAGCAAAAATAACACATTGGTCAGTTTATAAATGTAGGGTACTGATGACTGAGTCTGTAAGATTTCTTTCGAACAGTGATTTGATTTTCCAAGCGCTAAGGAATTTCAGACCTCAAATTTGCACATTGCAAAGCTTTTCACAGGGATTACAAGCAAAAATAACACATTGGTCAGTTTATAAATTTTTTAAATGTGTAACATAATATAAAGAACTTACTTTACTATAGCAGAACCTCGAGATGAACCAGCTAATTTCTTATAATGGTGTATCACTCGATCTTCACTGCAAAACACAAACATATAATACATAATTAATAATGATGTTTGGAACTAATCAATAACAATGCACAGAATACTGTATAAAACTGAAGACATTGTGTCCTGTGCATATAGAATGGGTTTTAATGTCTCATCAACACCATATTTATATCATTTCGAGATAAGATAGTAATTTTCTTTGGTAGGTTACAGAGGAGAAGAATTTTGCAAGAATTGTAGCATTATGCCTCCTCTTCGACATTCATTCGCCATTGGATCTTTTATGCGCACTACCAACATGTACACAAGACCTCAGTATTTTCGTATAACTACCCAACTATATGATTCAAGTCTTTAGCAGTTTCTTCCTGCTACTACGTACCTACAAAATGCATTTGATTGAAAATGAGTCCAAAAGAGAATCAAGATTTCAACCAAATAAACATCCCGCCATTTCCAAAAAATCATGCATATTCCATTAGCAACATGGCGCCAGATAAGGCTTGTGAAGATATTAATGAATAAGTCCTTCATAAAACTTTAATGACCTAACACATCCAATTCACTTTACTTTTTTTACAAAATGCATATCTATTGTAGAAGAGCACTATTAGATAATCAAATAATCTCTCTATTCACATCAGTTTATAAAGACTCACAGCAACTATAGTATTTATTTATAGAGTTACTGTCTCTGTCCAGACACCAATTATGAATAGGTCAAAAAAGAAGAGATAAATCTAGATACAAGATTGAAATTATAATGACCTGTCTGTTTCTCATCAGTTTGTAACGTTACATATTGTCCCCTTAATAAATACTAGTTCATTGATAGTTCTTCTAGGATAATAACTTATAGCCCGTTCAGACGCTTATTTTTAAACCAGTTCATAATTGCTGTGGTTTTTAAGACAGCATCGTGTTGCATTCACACATACTATAAGCCAAACCAGTTTAACTATTCTGACCTCTTAGGTCGGAGGTTAGAGTTAACTACGCATGGGTAGCTTCATATTCTTTATAAGGTTCTCAGACGCTTTCGATAACATTGGCACTGTCTGACCCCGATATCTTCACAGGAATGTATCTTACTGCGTATTGCGCATGCTCAAAGCAAGCTTGAGCTGGAGTTTTTAAGCCAACCTGTTCAGACAGCTAAGATGAACCAGTTTAAAATAAAAAGCCTTCTCGAAGACAGGTCGCGAGTTGAGTTTTTTAAACTATTTTATTTGCCCCACATTTGCGTTCAGACGCTCAAGTTAAACTGGTTTAACAATCCCCAGGGTTGTTAAACCAGTTCAACTTAAGCGTCTGAATGGGCTATTATATATATGATGTACAAATCCAGTCAACCATTTTAGCAACCAATGAAAACATAGTTACTCTCTTTTCGAGATCTAAATATATGTTCCCTTGAGGTTCTCTCATCAATCTGAAAACTGTAACTTTAACAATATATTCCTAATTTGACCCAGAAAAATTATAGATTGAAAGTAATTAGTAGGCTCACAACAAACAAAACAAGAAAGCATCCTTAAATGTCAACCACAAGTTTTCCAATCAATAGTTTATGTATTTCAATACTCAAGTGTAATGGCTATCTTTAAGAACATTACATATCAATGTTCCACTTGCATTCAAATTGCTTACTTTACCCAATCATTCAAAGACAATTTTTATTTTTATTTAATCTAGAAAAACAACCTAATCTTTCTCGTTGTTTTAAAACTTTACAAAAGTGTTTTCTTCTCCAGAAATTTTGGATGGAATGAAAGAAAAGAAATTTTCTGCTTTAGTTGATTGCTTTTATTCAAGAGGCAAATTGGCGTTCGTTCGTTTCTGGGGTTTTACGTCCACTTCCAAATTGGCCTCTTCAGTTTCTTTTTATATAAAGTGACTCAGTGAAAACTCTTTTAATTTGAATTTGTATACTTAAATATGTAGATGTTTCTTACTTCATCAAAGGAGCAGGTACATGTACATGTATACCTGTTATATGTACTTGATGATTTTATCACCTGTTTAGTTACCTGTACATATTTTAAATAATTACCTACTTTTTACTGATTGACAGCTTGTATTCTACACATCCTTCATTTTAAATCTACTGTTAAATTCCCATAGTACCAATAATGATTACATTTTACCTATTACTGTAAGACTGACAACACTTATTTAACCTATATCTCACTTTGACAGACTGACAATCAATCTAAATGTACTTGAAAATTCACACAGAAACCATTGGTAATGGTTATTCCATTTATCAAATGATTTTCACTTAGAAAGTCGTTAGTATTTGAAGCATGTAAATAATTTAATAGACAACCAACAGTTAACATCAATTTATTATTCTATATAGACCTTGCTCAAGAAACAGGGAGAGTTGTTTTTAGATCACACATTTTAAGATATTATGATTTTTGTTCTCTTGGCAACCATATTTTTACAAATATTTTCATGGCCATTTCTCAAAGTCAATTGTGTATATTAATTGCTTTATATATTTATCATCATTATCTAAGATGTTGTTTCATGTCATGTCAAAAATATATATGCTTAATAAATATTATAATGTTTTTTTCATTGGCATGTGGATACAACGGCCTTTAAGGATTAGCAAACATACCCTGCAATGTGGGAGACATATTCACTACAGTTATATAATGTTGCAACAGGTTCCATGCTGTTTGATTGCTATAAGTTTATGGTCTTTTATTCAATTTATTTAAGTCATAAAACAATAATATGTTTTATCACTACTACACATGATAAATTGGGTTCATGATCTGATAATAACGCTGCATGACTCTCATCTGTAGTATTATGTGCTCACCAATCAAGTCAATATAAAAATGAACTCATAAAGAGTCTGAACAGTCAGAAACAACCATTTGTTCAGGATTTATGATCCCTGTTTTTTGAGTCACACCTAACAAATAGATCTTATCTCTGCTAATAAAATTATGATATATTGGCCCAGTGTGATAGTTTGATTATTACTCTGGTATCCAATCCCAATGTATTAGATGATTAATACTGATCAAAATAAATATTGACGTTCAGGTTATTAACTTACAATAAATGAAACAATCATAGCAATTATCGTCAACACATGACTAATTAATAACAGTCATATATAAATGGGATTAACATAAAAGCAAGCAAAACTTAAGAAATATCTGTTTTAGTCTGAATAATTTATTTATATAGAGTGCATTCATGAAATTAAACCCAATGTACAATGTGATGCTCATCAACACAATTACATTTTGTTTGACAATCAACAAAATTTAATAAGATCACACTACAGATATATAAACAATCATAAGAATAAGATATGCAAACAAAATTCAGAAACTTCAAGAATGGTTGTTTCATGCACCTGATAAAGAGTAAAATTCAGTAAAAGCATCAAGATGTTTATTCAAATCTAATCTTTAACATTCATATCTTGAAAAATTTCAAGCTTCCGAAAAAAAAGCTCACGGCTAAAATTTCAGCATTCAGAAATTTTCAAGATAACGATATCTGACAATGAAATTTCTGATTAAACTTTGGTTTGTATACCTTAGAGATTTAAATTGCACTAAACTTACATTAAAGTAACTGAATACTTCCTGATCAGCTGTTGTTCGGCACAGAAATGAACTAAGTTCAACTAATTTTACCCTTTTTCATTTCTCTAATATCCAGCAAATTGTTGATATACATGCCAGTCAATCTGGTACAAATTAATAGAATAAACCTTTCAAACTGGTCATCTATGAACCCTACCTAAATTCGGCAAATATATTTTTATTTGCATACTAAGCAGATTTTTGCACTGTGCTTATTTGTCCCCTTATTGAAGGATTTTGTGTGAAGAATTCTTAGAAAGCAAAATGGCACTGTTAATTTAGTTTCTAGATGGTTTGACTGTCTTATGGTGGATTACTTGACCACCTGTTAAACACTACCCCATGCTTCGATTTTATAGAAACTGATTATTATGATTGTACATAAACAACCAACATCTCCTTCAATAATCATATAAACAACCAGAGTGATGTAAAGGTCAAAAATACCTTTGGCTTAACTACCTCCTAACATATTTCAAGCATTCCTGGCAAAATCGAACATAATAGGATATAAATTCAATTTTTATGAAATATACTCTCATTCCATAAATGTAATGTAATGGAATTGGGTTTAATATCTCACTGACACTTTACAGAAATACTCTGAGACCAACATATGGTTATTTCCATTACAATGGCAATGGGTATATAGAGAATCGAAGAAGATTTTTGCCTGGAATGTGACCGTTTTTCTTACTTTTCTTCAAATTCCAGTTGTTTCCTGACAAATGAGAAACAAGCTTCTTAAACCAGAGGGCCATAGAAAACTCACCAGATTGGAGAGGCGACCCTACTCATATATGTACAGGTGATGAATCAAAACCAGGTCACTTGACTCAATGACAGACATTATGATCCAACCCACCTGGACTAATGTTAACAAAGGTCAGAAACAATAATCTTTCATACACCCCCTGATCATTTTAGATGCTGTTAGTCTGAACGTGAATCAATTTTGTTTGTAGACAGTATTCAAGAATCTTGATTGATTGTAAATTGAAAGAAATTTCCAATTCAGGATTCTAAACAGTTCTCGCCATTTTTAAATTTCCTGTCCTTCCTGTAATGCAGGGAGTTTTTAGACAGTATATATACAAATCTTGATGGATTGTAAATTGAAACAAATATATCAAACAAAAGCTTCTAAAGACTTTTAGTGGCTTTCTATATCCAATCTTAACTGTAACTATAGAATGATTTCATGAACAGGGACATCATGACTACCATGAGCATTTAAAAAAAAAATTAAAACTCCAAAATAAGTAAAGGGCTATATCACTTTTATTTAGACAGAAACAGTACTAAATGGAGCTGATCTGATGTGTTATTTCGATTAATCATAGAACTATATGATTAAGAAATTTAGTTACATTTTTGGCTTACTGCACTCCCACAGCGACACATC